TTGTTGAAACTATAAATATAGTTTCAATGAGACACGACCTTTTCACTTGACGGTTTATTCGAATCTACTACTATTTAAATGTACATATTTACAAGTGGTGGTGGTGGGTGAGAGGGTGGAGTCTGCTGCACCCCTTCTCCTTCGGTCTACCTGCCTGGACCGAACATCCCGGCCCGCATTGAACCGCAGGATCAATCTACTTAAATTAATTACTGTATGAACATGTGAATATGTAATTAATTTCCTAGCTTAATAACATGCTAATTATAATAAATGTTAATCTTGAAATGATATTAAAATGAATGGAACAAAATAAAAAACAACCGTGAAAGTGTCTCTAATGTTAAACGTTTGATCACTCGGACGGCAACAAGCATAATGTTCGTAACGCTCGCCTCACAATCGCATCTCCAGTTCGTACGGATACCACTCTGATGTGTCCGTCAGCCCCTGGGTGTAGCTCCACGATGCGGCCGCGCCGCCAGGTCAAGGGTGGAGTTGGCTCCTTGAGAACCACTAGCATCCCTGGTCTTGCTGCCGTTGTTCCCTGTAGCTGCCACTTGGTCCGCTGCTGCAAGTGGTGTAAATAATCGCGCGACCACCGGTTCCAGAAATGTCGAATCTGTTCGGTGTGTTGCCACCGTGACAGGCGATTTACGCGTAGGTGTGTAACTTCTGGTTCAGGAATTGCAGTTAACGGTGCTCCAATTAAAAAGTGACCCGGGGTTAGCACCTCTTCGTCGTTAGGGTCTTCGCTTAGAGGACACAAAGGCCGCGAATTCAAGCAAGCCTCTATACCCGTCAACAAAGTATACATTTCCTCGTACGTTAACCTAGTCTCCCCTACTACGCGTTTCAAGTGGTACTTCACGGATTTTATCCCCGCTTCCCAAATACCGCCAAAATGCGGAGCCCTGGCCGGTATAAAATGCCAATTGATCTCCCTTTTACTAAGATGCTGTTCAATTAGTGCAAAATTAGTATGTTTAAAAATATCTTTCAGTTCATTCCTGGCTCCTACAAAATTAGTCGCATTATCCGAATAAATATTTTTAACAATACCTCGTCGAGCAATGAATCTCTTCAATGTACTCAAGAAAGCTGATGCCGTTAGATCGCCGACTAATTCCAGATGAATAGCCTTTGTTGACAAGCAGATAAAAAGTGCTATATATGATTTAACTGTTCGCTTATTTCGTGTTTTACCATCTTTAATAGGCATAGGTCCTGCAAAATCGATTCCCGTGTTACCGAACGGTCGCTCTGGAACTACCCGAACTGATGGTAGTTCTCCCATTATCGGATTAAATTCTATAGGTTTTACCCGAGCGCAATTAAGGCATTTATGGATTACTTGTCTTACCTGGTTTCTATCTGCTAATGGCCAGAACCTAAGGCGTACCGATGAAAGGGTCGCTGTTGGACCAGCATGTAATTGAGCGACATGTATTTCCTTAATAATGAGATTTGTTATGTGATGTTTCGGTAATACCATAGGGTGTTTTTGATCGTAGCTTAAGTTAGCATTACGTAAACGCCCTCCTACGCATATGATACCATTCGTATCAATAAAAGGATTGAGTCTCCTTAGTTTGCTGTTGTTGTTAACTGATTTATTAACGCTGAGGTTTTTAATTTCATCGGCAAATTCTACCCTTTGTAATAATTTAACAATTGCATTAGTGGTTCGTGTGTATTCATCAGGTGTACATTCTCCAGTCTTTTTATTAGCTTTATTTTTACAATTATGAACAAATCGGAAACAATTGATAATGACATGTTGCAACTTAAGAAATGATGAGAACCTGAGAAGAAACTCTAGTTCTGATGTATTAACTGTTACTAATGAGGCGGTTTTTAATTCCAGCACTTCCGTTTTATGTGATTCAGTTTTAGGCCATTGTGCCTCGTCGTGTTTTAGCCAACCAGGGCCTGAAAACCACAACTTACAAGAAATCAACTCGCTTGGAAACATACCTCGCGAAATTATATCTGCTGGATTATCTTTTGTACTTACATGGCGCCATGATATCATTTGATATTTACGTTCTTCCGGAGTGATAAGTATCTGCCGGTACATTTTATTGGTATCGGCAGTCAGCACAAATTTGTATAACCTGATTCTTAAAATTATTGCGCAAAGATCGTCTTGAATTTTTGGACCAACTGCTAAACACTCATTTAGACTAACTCCGGAAGAAGTTTTTGCACTCGCATCAAACACTACACGTAACTTTGTAGTAGTACTCGTCTCTTTCATGACTGCATGATGAGGTAGAAAAACGCATTCATCTTCCAATGGGTTTGATACTAATTGCATATGATTAAGTTCATTGTATTCGTGTACAAATTCATGATACCTGGATTTTAAAGACGGATGTCGTTTGAATTTGTTTTCTACAGCCATAAATCGTTTTATGGCCCTGTCTTTGGATTTACCCAAAATTGTGGGATTATTCTTATATGGCAAAGACACCGGAAACCGCCCAGCCGGGTCTCGTTTATGACTCTTTAGAAATTTTTCCTCGCATAGTATTTCCTCTGGAGTTCCACAAACTGTATCTGTAGTTGGCCATTGTTCGATACCCCAACATGTCTCTACCTGCTTACTTAAACTAATTAGGGTTAAATTGCACACTGGTTTAGTGATGTTTTTATGCTTATTTAAAATACTTCCGCCCAGAAGGTACCCAAATACAGATTCTTGCAGGTGTACCGAATTATTACTTATTTTAAGCTGACCTGTTCTAATGGATTTCCAGAACAGCTCAGCCCCCAATAAAATATCTATTGGACCGCTTTTGTGAAAGTGGTCATCCGCAAGTTGGATCCCAGATGGTAATTCTAAAGAGTTTTTGTCAATGGATATTGCCGGTAAATTTTGTGTTATATGATTTAAGACCAAACATTTTACGTTAAAATTGTAATTATTGTACCTTGATTTTACCTTGATTTGCACCAATTTTTGTGATTGTACACTCGTGCCATTGATTCCTATTATTTCACCATGGAGATGCTTGGAAGACAATCCTAATTTATTACATAATTGTTCCGTAATAAAGTTGGACTGCGACCCCATGTCTAATAGCGCCCTACATACGATCCACTCATTAAACTGATTTTGAATTAAAACCTGCACTGTAGTCAATAAAACCATTGAAGATTCATCGTTTTTTACGTGTGAGACAATGACAGATTGATTGGGTTCGGGATCGGTACTTTGAGTTTCCGTATGCAATAAAGAATTGTGTTTTTTATTACAATATTTGCAAGTCCTACCTCTGCATTTATCAGTTTGATGATTACGCTTAAAACAGTTTGTACATAATTTATACCTTTTGACTTGATTCCAGCGATCTGTTATTGGTAATTTCAAAAACTCGAGACACTGATATAACGCATGTTCTTGTTTACATAAAAAACATTCAATTTGATGTCCTTCCTTAATGAAGGCAGCATTACACGTAACAGGTGCTTTATTAGAATGATTAGACGATCTGAAATTATTCTTTAAATTTGAATGCACTGAATGTTTTCCATGAGACTAAGATTCTCCAGCAGTTAGCGATTCTAATAATGTGGTTTTCTTTGTCAAAAATGTAATTAATTCCTCTAATGTTGGAACATTGGTATCCAATGTACACTCCCAATCCCTCTTTGTAACAAAATCAAATTTTAATGTGATAAGTGGTACAATTAGCGCGTCCCATTGTTGAACTTGTATACCTACATTTTTTAATTCCGCAATATTTGTCAATATGTCGTCCAATAATTTACGCATGGCCACGGCTGAATTTTTGACTAAATTTGGAGAATTAATGATTGCCAAAACATGTTCTTGGACAATCAAACGTTTATTGTTGAACCTTTTTTCTAACAGGTCCCATGCTGATTTGTAATTAGCCTCTGATACTTTAATGGCCTCGATTGTTTTATGTGCGTCGCCCTTTAGGCACGATTTCAAATAATGCAGCTTTTCAACATCACTATATAATCTACTGTCATGGATTAATAATTTGAAAATGTCTGAAAATGCTGTCCACTCTAAATATGATCCGGAAAATATGGGTAATTCTAACGACGGCAGTCTAACTGGATTTAAACGCGCCTGATTATTGTCGTTATTAGTACTAGACGTTGAAGGAATAGGTTCTGTAACACGCGACTCGATTAACTTTAGGATCCTTGCTTCTAAATCATAATACCGATTTTCGAATTCATCGCGCTCGCATGTTTGTTCCTCGGTATCGCACTTTAATAATTCGATATCCCGCTGTATGGCATCAAATTCCATGAATGCATTTTGGAGATTCGGTAGCCTAGTTTTTAATTGATAGATATCATCGCCTGCTCTAAATTTATCCACGAATGTTTTAATTCTAGTAACCGAACCCTTGATTATTCCCCGTTTAGTTACTAATGTTTTTAACGCGTCGTTTGTTTCGTTCGTCATGTTTTTTATTGCGTATGAGGAAATGCAGTACAAAGTAGATAGATATAGATTCCTACCTTTACGTCCTTGTACCCTCGCTCGTGTGTGTCCTGGATCTCGTTGTCCGCGGAATAAAGCTCAGACCACCCTGTCTGATTTGATGCTGAGCCACTTAACTTCGACACTTTGATTACGTAACACTGGATGACGATCCGGCTCGAAGGACCAAATGTTAGGTCATAAATGGGTGACCTGACGGAAATTGTGACGATTCGGTTCGTAGTACCAAATGTTAGGTCATAAGTGAGTGACCTAACGGAAGGTTTTTGTATCCGACTCGAAGGACCAAATGTTAGGTCATAAATGGGTGACCTGACGGAAATTGTGACGATTCGGTTCGTAGTACCAAATGTTAGGTCATAAGTGGGTGACCTAACGGAAGGTTTTTGTATTTGCTCGAAGGACCAGCGGTCACAAATGAGTGACCACAAATGTTGGTCACAATGGATGACCAAAATGATGAAGTGGTCACAATGGATGACCAAAATGATGTTGTGGTCACAATGGATGACCAAAATGATGTTGTTGAAACTATAAATATAGTTTCAATGAGACACGACCTTTTCACTTGACGGTTTATTCGAATCTACTACTATTTAAATGTACATATTTACAAGTGGTGGTGGTGGGTGAGAGGGTGGAGTCTGCTGCACCCCTTCTCCTTCGGTCTACCTGCCTGGACCGAACATCTATAAATCAAAATTTTATAATCTACAGGTAAGAAACGTTTCATAGTGCTTATTATACCATTAGAAGGATCTGCACTATTTTTAATGAGACCTCCGTCTTCGTTTTCGGATGCACTAATTATGTCTCCTACAAACAGATAATATATTTTAACGTAGGACATACGTTTTAAATAAAAATGTCGTAAAAGTAATTTCAAAGTATACTGCATGCATCTTTTAAAAGAATTTAATTAGATAAACAATTTTACCATATCCTTTGAATAGTATCATCAATATTGCACATTGTTTTAACAAACTAATCTGTTACATCGTGAGCCGTCAATACCAGCAGTTTTAAAGATTTTTAAACCTATTATGCTAAACAATATTACACCAAAACCTCAGTCTTAACATCCAACTTTGTTGGCTTTTGATAAAAAAAATCATAACCGTGACACGAATAATTTTAAATATACACAGGAGGAGCTTGTTTGCTTCTCGACATTTCATGAATTATTGAAAATAAAAAAAGTCGCAGATTACAGTTATATTGTTCTCTGAATAGAGGTACTTGAATGCTTTAAAACCATAGTTTAAGTTTGCTCGGTTGAGGTACACTAAAATTATTCTCAACTATGCAGAGTTTTCTGTTTTTGAGGCATATTCACATTACTCCTAATTTTGTTTTTTTTTTTTTTAGTAGAACATCCACTATTTGTACAAAGTATCCTCAGTCTCTTCCTAGGCCTTAAAAGAATAGGTTATTTTTGAAATTTTAATGAGACTATTCTTGAATTGTTTTAGCAACAATATAAGGGGTTTAGGGTTTTTAAAATCTCTGTTACAGTATTTTGTGCCTATATTAACAAAAGATCTAAAATATTGCAATTTTTAAATATCTATATTTTAGTTTTTGCACACGAAACAACTTCTATTTTATTGTTGCATCTTACCCCCTCTTTTTTTGTTAATTATTTTTTATTTTTAAAGTTGCTAGATTTTGCGGTTGCTTATTTTTTAAGAAAAACACCGATATCTCGAAAGAAATAAAGCAAAATATAAATGAAAAATCTGAAAAATCGATATCTGAAAATTATAATATTTTAGATTTTTTTTATAAATAGTACTCTATTCATTAAGATTCAATTAAAATCCACATCACAACAAATCGGATGTATATATCCCTCCACAAAATATTTTAACACAGATTTTTTTCCAAACCCTTGCATTGCTAATTTCTGTGTTAGGTGGTTATGAGTGTTATGACACAACGCTGTGTATAGTTGGAAATCATTTTAGTGAATGCTGCTCACAAGGAATCAGAACTTCGGTCTTTAACTTTTGTCTTATATTTAATAATGGTTAATATAATTAATGATTCTATTAATTTTTACATGAAACTAGTTTCGGTGTTATCTAGATGTTGACATCAGTTTTATTAATTTACCTTAAAACAATATAAAAAAATATATATAGTCCGATTTGTTATTTTTAACAACGAGATTCCCTGGTACTGGATGACTTTCAATATCGCATTTAGAAACACAATGTCTATGTCTAAATTGTTTATATTTGATTTCAACTGCTAGCTTTATGTTAGGTATATTTAAAACTAAACTGTTATTTAGAAAAAGAGTGAAATTACACATTACCATCGGAGTCGTATAGATCCCCTGAAGGAGTTCCCAATTCAGGCATTGGTAAAAGTTCTGCAGAACAAAACAAAAGTAGGTTACAAATTAATGTCTCTGAGTAATTCATGTGGCATACTAACCTTCAGAATGGGGTGATTTTAAAGGTGTTTCTGGAATAACCAAATCTAACTCGAATTCTAAAATTATTAAATTTTCATAAATATAATGTACGTGAAATAAATATGATTTTACCTGGAATTGCACAAGTACCTATTTTCTCAATACTTTCGTCAGTACTGGTGCTATCTGAACGGAATACTAAAGATTAAAAATATGAATAAAATCTTACATTTTTAAAATTAATGGATATTACCTTCAGTAACAACACTTTTCTGACTACTTTCATCAATAGATTCATATCTTTTAGGTGGAGTGTAAATATCCACCGAATAAATAATTGCCTCGGTGCGAGGTGATAATTGAGGCAACGGAGATGAATCGTCCTCCAACATGTTGTTACTCGAGACAGGTGTTGAAAACAGATTTCGGCATACACTGTGGGACATCTTCGCTAAAAAATATCAATAATTGCAAAAAAAAGCAAACAAAAATAGTAATTTTGCATAAAGTTGCAACGGAGAAAAATATTTTACAACTTTTGACGGATTTTTTTTTTCTTCAATAATAATCAGCTTATAATAATGATTGTCATTTGTTTAAGTAAATTTCATCCATGTACAATAAATAATTTTAAAATTCCATACATATACAGAGTGAATGTAATTATACATACCTTTTTTAAGATTGAATTTAGATTACAACACTATAAAATCCACTGCACAATACACAAGCCGGAACCAACACAATTTGTTTGCTATTTCACAGGAGATTTTTTTTTCAAGTTGCATCGACAAAAGACTGTCTGCTACTAGGGGTACATGCTAGTTGGCTCCGGCGGACGGTATTTGACCCTCTGCCGAAAAATGGGTATAGGTAAATTGGCTCCGATGGTGCAAGGAAGGCAGATTTTATGGTACCTCCTACGGTGAGGGGATCATCTGCAGATACGTTATTTCCTGCTGTCGGAAGAGATGTGTTGTTTGAATTACAGGAACATATAATTCCATAGTCATCAAATTTCTATGTCTAGAAAGTGGTGGCGGTAAGGTAGTTACAAAGGGGTTTTCTGGTATTTCCCAGATTTGCGGGGTCTTTGAAGTAAGAGGATAACAATCGTTACGGTGAGAGTAAATATTTCTATACTTTTATTACTACCTGCACTGGTCGAAAATGCCCATTCAACACAAATACAAAATTTCCGGCCGAAAAATATCAGTTTTTTCTTAAACTTTCTTGTGCCCAAGCGCTTAAGATAATTGTTACAAAATGGACTGTTTGGACGAAATGATTAGTGAAAAAGCAAAAACAGGTCTGTTAATTAGGTAATAATTATAAATATAATTTTCATAAAGTGTTAGCTCAAAGTGTTATACGTTGGCAGTGTGTAAAACGTGGCTGTAAATCGTACATCAAGACGAATGCTTCGAATAATAGAACAAAGTGGTGAACATACTCACGAAGCGACTGAAACTTCAAAATTAAACAGACAGAAGCTCAGCAATTTTGTTTTGGTTTATATTTACCTTATCTTTTGCAGCAAAATACAATACTAACAAAAATAAAAAAATATATATTTACCAAGCAATAGTAAATAAATTGTTAAAATTATTAGGGGTAATAGTTCGAACATATACGTGTTGTTTTTCTTAAATACTTATCGTTGCAATGATGAACGAATAAAATTATAAATAATAACTTTAAATGAAATTTAATTTTTCAGTTGGCATTAGATATTAGGTTTTGTGAAAACAACCACAGTTCTGCGTTACCCGTCATGCAGGCAGCAGGAGATGGGAGCCAACTAGTACATGCATCTGGCGGGAGCCAATTTACCTGTTGCTTAAGATTCAAAAGTAGCCGCCGGAGCCAACTAGTATGTTCGGGTTATTCTAAGCAATAATATTTTCGGTTTGAGATATTTATTATATTCAAATTACTTACTTTTTATTGCATCCTGGAATTACAAGACGGTAATAAAGTTTTACAGGCTAGAGACGTGTTTGCGAGCGTATAATTTGCAAAGCAAAGAAAGTGATGCCATTGATACATTCGCACAGCATAGTGAACGAATTGGATATAATTTTATATAAAATCTACATTCGATAAAACTTGTTGCTGTTATTCACTTTACCTGAAATTAACACAGAATTTGTGACCGAATCCAAATAATCAATTGTTAACTGGTGAATTGTGAACGAAATACGAATTACCATTTTTAAACGTGCTTTACAGAAAAGAATTATATTCCCAAAAGATAATAAAATTATATCCGTATTCTTTGTATTGGCCGAGCAAAGGCGGCTCGTTTGACACTCTGCAGTCCTGTTAATATTGCAGGCGAATATGTACTGTTATTAACATTACCTAAAATATGCAAGTTAATAAAACACCACTTAGATAAAAACATATTACATTATGTGGATACTGACTACACTATTACTATTAATTACTATTGACGGGCAACCAGAGAAAATTGGCAATGATAATGTTTAAATTTATAAATGCTGTATATTTGAAAACAAATTATTCGTTTTCATTTCTTGCGTGTCGGCGACAATTATGTTGATGACTGCCACCCAAATCTATTTGTTTATATATAACGAGTAACCGTAGTTTGTATTGGTAATTGTAAACGTTTGTATAAATATTTCCGTTAGATTCCTTTACAAACTTTTGGTCAATTTATGATACTATTTCCCGCGTAAACCATCGAGCAACCAGATTTCTGGAATCTGACAACAATATAATGTTTGCCTGGCCTCGATATTTATCACGTATTTTTATTGCTAGCTACTACTAAACTACAACAAATAAATAAACGGCTAAATTGTATTCTCATATTATAACTATGAAACTTGTAATGTGAAACATTGATGACGTGAACTTTATTAAGTATAAATTAAACATCATACATATTTTGCTACTTACGATAATTCATTGGCATTATAATAAGTTTACTGTTTTGGTAAGGGATTAAATTAAATTATTATTAACTAAAACTTTAGAGAAAATGAGTTCAATTGTTTTTGAGAAAAAATTAAATCAAAATGTTATTGTTAAGCAAAAAATGTAATTATTTATTACGCAACAATTTTTTTGCAATTTAAAATTGTAAGATGGCGAATCTAATAATAATTTGAAATAAAAAAAATATCTTTAAAAAAATAATGACTGGAAGTAAAAAATTTGTAACAATAAAAAAATTATACAAATGGCAGTTGTTTTTCTTAAATTTCAGGTAACCTAAATTTTAAAGTGTGATATTTAATTATTTGTTTATTCATTTATTCATTCATTCATCCATTTATTTATTTATGTATTTATTTATTTATTCCACACATTGAGTAATTGCCATATTATATTACTACTACTGCGAGTAAAATTTATTAAGATTTCTTTCCACACCTAACGCCGAAAATGAAAACAGAAAGCAAGTACGTAAAAGCGGGTAACGGTACAGTATCGATTTTCGGCTTGGACATGCGGCAAAACAGTACTCAGTCTAAACTATGTTTCGCTTCGCCCAAGTGCGACATGCGGCAAATCTGACCCAAACAGTAGAGGCGAAAATCCCTCGGACGCGATTTGGATATGCGGCAAACCAGTTCTAAGGTGACGATTGGTCTTTTTTGAGGCATATTAAACGACCTAGTTTTTTTTTTATTTCAAATAGAACACCCAATATACTTTTACATATTGAAGTGGCCCCTTCCTAGGCTTTAAAACCGTAGTCTATTTTTGAAAGCAAAGCGACGTTGCCACGTTGTTTAATTTTTTTGAAATTTTCTAGCAATGTAAAAGTTCGAAAAAAATCGCAGTAGGGTTATTTTTAAAATCTGTCTTAAAATGTTTTGTGAAAGGATAAACAAAGTTGGGTCTTAATGTACAGCGTTTAATAACAAAAAATCAAAAATATTACAATTTTCAAATATGGATATTTCAGTTTTTTCAAATAGAACATCTGTATTTTATTACTGCTTCTTACTCTACTTTTCCGTTTATTTTTTTAAGTATTTTTTACATCCAAAGTTGACAGTTATGGAATTTTCATGACAAAAAATAGAGTAAGTTTGAAATTATGAAATACGTGTTGTATTTGAAAAAAAGTGATGGTTTAGATTCTTTATAAACAGAGCTGTTCAGTACTTCAAGTAAAAGTACTTGAAGTAATACTTCAAGTACTTTAAGTACTTCAAGTACTTTACTTGAAGTACTTTTATATTTAGGTATTTGGTACTTGGTACTTGGAGTATTTTTAAAATGTACTTGAGTTTGGTACTTGATTTTGCCAAGTACTTTACTCCAAGTACTTCACTCAGTATTTTAAATACTCTTGAATTACTTGAAGTATGAAAGTGGAAATTTCAAATACTTTATCCTCTATTTTACGAAGTTTTTACATCTCAAAATAGGGTCTGTTAAATCCTTGAAGTTATTAATTCAATTATTTGATAAGATGTATTTTTATAGTAAAATCGTGTTTGTTTCCTGTGAGGTTATATTTTGATCTGTGATTGTGAATATCTTATCCACAATATGACATACATTTCATAGGTACTTGCATAATGCCGATAGATGGTAGGTAAGAAAATTAATGTCATAAATATGTCATTTGAGAGTGAATGACGACAGCAGAAGGGTCGGAGATCTGTGTAAAATTTTCAGCGATGTAAAGTTGTGAATATATGAAGTTTGTCTTTTGTATTTTGGTCTGGAACTTAACTTTCCGGTTAGTTTTTCAGTACCTTCCCGGTACCCCAAAGGGAATCGGGTTTGTTGACGTACCTGCTAAAGTGCAAGGTCGGATTTGAAAATATTTGAGAAATGATTTAGTACTCGTTCAAAAAGATATTTATTCTTTCATTAGTTTCTTAACCCCGCCGTGTATTTGTCAGTAAGAAGACTGGTCAGGGCGGAGAACTCGGCAGGGGATTATCCCTTTTATTATTATAATAGCAATAGCTGATGGCAGGTACAGACTTTCATATTCGCGTCTTCCTCGTAGAATTTAAACAGAATTTTATGTTAAATATTTTGCAGTTTAATTTTCTTTATCATGTTAGACACTCGTTTTTTACCAAATTTTCTTTTTTTATTTATACATGGTTCAGCCATATAAACTCAGTTTCTTATTTCTACTTATATTTTCTCACATTACAGTTTCAAATAATCTGTTAAATTGTATGAATTATTTGAACACCAACAATTTAAAAAGACGTAATGCAGAAAAACAATGATTTTAAAAGTCACACTAATTAGTGTCATTTATCTTTCTTGTGCGGATTTTATTTATTACCGTACAACAACTTTACGTATTACATTGCATCGCTTATTACCTAAACCCAATATTGTTCAAAATGAAATATGTTTTGTGAAACTCGGCTCGTAGTACCAATATTTTTTGTAATCCAGTTGATACGACTATGATTGTATGATTTTGATGAGTACCGAATTGTACTTTGATATTGCTCGAAGGACCTTTGTTTTGTTGTGTGCGAAATAATAGACAGCCTTCGGTTTCGATGTTTAAATACAGGACGGTTACAGAAGTACTGAACTTACATTTGTATTTACAATATCAGGTAAAGATACCCAAAAGGGTCAGTGGCCGCTTCCGTAAATGGAACAAAATACATATTCACATTATAAAAAAATACAAAGTTAATGAAATTCGCGATTAGTTAGTATAATTGCCTAGATAAATACACCCCTACGAAATATTTTAACAATAATAAATTTAGTACATATTTACCTGAATTTTCGCAAAAGCCGTTGTTAGGCATTCCCTGAAGTCATTGTGGTTATCAGTTACTAATGTCATCTTCTTTGGGTTTTCAGGTAAAAATAAAAAATAAGCCAATCGAAAATGTAAAGGAAAATTTTGAAAGTATTGTGGCATTAGAGGAACCAAATTTTGTATAAATGGACGGAACAGCATTACGAACCTATTAATTATTTGTGATTTGTTAGTGTAAAGTTACATACTTAGTTAGACAAACATTGTAGTGATTAGTGTTTAACTGTTTACTATTTAGTCACTGTAGTAGTTAAGTTAATTTAATAATTTTTAGAATAGTAAATACGTACCTAAGTGGTAGACAGATATATTCAGGAATATGGGGCATTCATTCCAAGAAAATTCTCAGCATTTTTGGTAACCGCAAAAGTAAAAAACGACTAATTACTTTGATCACCTTGATATTTTTCAAGAGTTATAGTTTTCGCTGAAAATGGACTCTCGTTTTAGGCATTTTATTTTTTATTTAAAAAATTCATACGTTTTTTTTGAAAATGCAACATAGTGACTTAAACATTTTTATGTCACGAGCATATGTATATGTATCGCACTGCTCTTAAAATTTTTTTCTGGAAAATTTCAGTTTCACAAATCCGGCCCTGTGCACTTTCACAATGGGTAATGATTAAGGGTGCTGTAAACTACCCACAAACTTAAACACGGAACCGGTTCATAAAATTCATTATTTTTAACACAACTTTATTAAAAAATCAGAACGTTTTGGTGGTGAACCAAAATTCAAATTATTAAAAAAAGGCAACAGAAGCCTGAGAAAATACCATACAGCGCCGATGTTTTTGTTATAAATTAATAGTAAGCATACATAGACAACGCCGTCATGTATTTTATTTTAAATTAGAAATAGACGTTAATTTTGTAGAAGGCATTGGCTCAACAGAAAGATGTAAAAGTATTTCAAACGAATATTGTTTATAAATAACATAGTATTATTAATAACTGAGCTACCATTCTGCATTTAAGTTGATGAAGTTAAATTCTGAATATTAAAAAATTCAGTTCTAAAATATATTAAGCTTTTTAAAAAAAAACGGGAAAAGTTATCTAATTCTACAGTATTTCAAATAATTAGAAAGTACTTGAAGCATTTTCAGTACTTCAAGTATTTGTAAGTACTTGAAGTATACCTCCAGTACTTCAAGTACTCGTAAGTACTTGAAGTAATGTACTTGGCTTGTACTTCAAGTACATCTGAAAAGTACTTGATACTTGAAATACTCTTGCTGAAAGTAAGTACTTGGTACTTTACTTGACCACTATTTCAAGTAGTACTTTGTACTTGGTACTTCAAGTACTTTTTTTGAGTACTTTGAACAGCTCTGTTTATAAACACCCTGTATAATAAAATTTAAATTAATTGACACCACAAAAATGCGCGTTTCTCTATATATCTCCCCATTAAATATTGTAAAACTAAACACATTGAAAAAAAATAACCCCATTTTGATTTTTTGTTAACAAATTTCAAGAAAATTGAAATAACTTGGCAACGTCGCTTCATAATTTTAAAAATAAACTGTGGATATAGCAAAAGGCTAATCAAAAATTGTGTGTTATAAAAGTTTTGTGTTACGTCCTACAAAGAGAACACTCTGTATAGATAAGAATTAATTTTGAAGTCCTAAAAAACTTTATTTTTTGACTATATTTTTATAATGAGACTTCGAGAACCGCACGCTTATTGACCCACCCTGTATACAGGGTTGATCGATATAATTATTGAAAATAAAAAAACGTCAAACTAAAATTGTACGGTTCTTGGACTAGCACGGCTTAGTTTTTTTTTTTATTTTAAATAGAACACCCAATATATTTTTACATATTCAATTGGCCTCTTCCTACGCTTTAAAACCGTAGTCTATTTTGGAAATTTCCAAGCGACGTTGCCACGTTGTTTAAAAAATCGCAATAGGGATATTTTAAAAACTGTGTTAAAATGTTTTGCGAATGGATAAACAAAGTTGTTGTATTAAATTGATTATTAATATACAGTGTTCAATAAAAAAATCAAAAACATTACAATTTTCAATCAGTTTTTGGATCATTCAGTTTTTTCAAATATAATACTTGTAAAGTTGACAGTTTCTGGAATTTTCGTAACAAAAATAGAGTAAGTTTCAGTAATAAAATTCGTGTTCTATTAAAAAATATATCATGTTTTAGATTTTTTATAAACACTCCGTATAACAAAATTTAAATTAATTTTTATCTGCATAAAATATTGTAAACAAAAATTTAAACATTAAAAAAATAACCCTGCTGTGATTTTTTCTTAACAAAATTCAAGTACATTGGAATAATGTGGCAACGTTGCATCAGAATTTCAACAATTAACTATTACTCTGATTATAGAGTCTACAACCAGGCCAATTAGAGTATATAAAAATAAGATGTCAGAACACTCTGTATACTTGAAAATAATGTTAGTGTATGCTAAGCAAAGAAATGTGTGACTGTAGGCTTTAACTTTATTTTCTGTCTCCAATAATAATTAAGGAACTATCGGAGATATCGAAAACCGCGCCCTTAGTGTGACTCACCCTGTATACAACTAGAGATCAATAAGAAACACGATCAGAGACAGACATGGATTTTTGAAGATTTGTCTTTGATCGTGTTTTTGTTCTCTCAGTACTACTTTGATAAAAAAAATGATTTAAGGTTATTTGAATAGAACTTCTCTCGCCCTTAAATACAGTCGAACAAATTCAGTTTTTTCGGAAAATTTGACAACAATCAGTCTAGTAGTTTACAAGATTCTCTATCTAATACAAATCGACACAGATGACAGACGACAGGCACAAACGAAAACGGGAGACCAATTTTTTTCTTGCTCCAGAGGTCATGAAACGCCTAAAACATGAACTAAAAAATGTTGAAAGAATATATTGAATTGAATTATAGAGAAATGAAATTCTTTTTTAACCTGACCTGACCTGACCTAACCTGACCCGACCTGACCTAACCTGACCTGACCTGACTTTGTAGAAGAAACTTGGCTAAAATGCAATTCTGTCAAAGGATCGTTTAACAATTTTTAGACAATTAAAAGTATTTAGTCAATTTACAATGCCTTTACCATAGCGTTGTAATTTTTTCAAAAATGTTTTGCTACTTTCAACAAATTCAAATTTCTATTAACATCTAAAAAGTAATCCTTGTTTTCTTCTGTAGTACCACCAAGACGATCAAGAGAATATAAATAGTGAGAAATAAAGCTTCTAAGATCCGTTTCCATTTTGTCGCCACTCTAATTTTGCAATCACATGATCTCTTCAAATATTGCAAACTTCAACTACAATAAAATTAATCGCCGAGTGGGATTTAAATAACTCGAACATCAAGCAAACTCTTGGCTACTTGCAATTTAAACAGAGACGTAGTTTCGGTTCTGTAAACACAATTGTAGTGATTTAGTAGTACTTATTTAAACATCCCAAATTTTGTATGTACAAAGGTATTAATGATAAGCACTAAAAATCTTATTTCCTAACTTTTAATTCTCATTGTACAAATAACACATAATCTTCACTTCTGTCAGCAAATGACTATGTCGAAAATGATTTGTGAAAATTTAGCACCAAGTAGTTTTTTAAAATTTTTTTGAAATTTTGTTGCAGTTTATCCGTACCAGAAGCTCTAGGAAAACTCGTCTCCTACTTCAGCCCAGGCCAGACCGCCGTAACCAAAGAAGACGCCTACTACTACGCCGCCACCGTCATAATCCTCAACTTAGTCAACTTCATCTACACCCAAAACTATCTCATCGCACTAACAGAATTCGGAATCAGAATCAGAACAGCAATATGCTCCTTCATCTACCGCAAGGCCCTAAAAATGACCGAAAAATCCCTCACCGACATATCAATGGGAAAAATCGTCACCCTCATCACCAAGGACATCTTCGCAATCGAAATGATCATCCTGTTTGGTAACGACATCTGGATAGGCCTCATCCAGACCGCCCTCATCTGCTACCTCATCTATGGAAAAATCGGAGTCGCGGCATTCGCAGGAGTCGGCTTCTTCCTCATAATTCTACCCCTACAAAGTAATACTCATTTTAATTTTGCTACAATTACAAATTGTAATTTTAGTTGTCATCGGACGAATGTCGACGTTGTTTCGTCTGAAAACCAGCAAACAAACGGACGAAAGAATCCAACTAACTCAAGAGATTCTGTCGACTATCAAAACCATCAAAATGTACGCTTGGGAAAATTTCTTCTGTGACAGGATTTCGCAGTCGCGCAAGTAAATTAACACATCTGTATCAATTGTCACTCTATCGTACGATTCCAGAAAAGAAGTCAACTCAATTTTCAAACTATTCCTCTTGAAGATCATCATCATCGTAATCGGGGGACTTTCCGCAAAAATTGCTTTCTATCTCCTCATCATGACCCATGTCTGGATGGGTAATTACATCACGGCTGAAGTCGTCTACTTCATTAAAAGCTGCTTCCACAAACTCAGACACCTTCTGAGCATAATGCTTCCACTTGGTATCACGTTTGGAGCAGAATTCTCCGCCACTTCTATCAGAATGAAGAGTATTTTGAACGCCGAAGAAGCACCAACGTCGCGAAGTCCCATTGAAATATCCACCAAAGACCCCGCTATTATTTTCAATAAAGTGTCAGTCACAACGCGAGGGGTTGACATTATCAAAGAAACCACAATGGAACTGAAGAAAGGGCTCAACATTGTCGTCGGGCACGTAGGTTCCGGGAAAAGCACGTTCCTCAAGACCATCCTCGAAGACCACAAATTCGACGGTAATTTGACCATTTATGGCACGTTGTCGTACGCGTCGCAAGAACCGTGGTTGTTTCCGTCCACCATCAAACAAAATATATTGTTTGGGGAAAAAATGAACCACGAGAGGTACAGAAAAGTTTTGGAGATTTGTGCTCTGAATCAAGACTTGAAGGGGTTCAGCGATTGTGACGATAGTCTGGTGGGTGATAATGGTGTCAATTTGAGTAAAGGTCAACAAGCTCGAGTTAATCTAGCCAGAGCGGTATACAAGGAAGCTGATATTTATCTGCTAGATGATTGTCTGGCGGCTCTCGATGGACACGTCAGCGACTACATTTTCAAAGAGTGCATTCTGGATTTTCTCAAAGGCAAAATGTGTGTTTTTGTCAGTAATAGCGACGATTATGTGCCGTCGTCCGATTGGATTATCAATATCAATGACGGTAGTATCAAATTGAACGAAAACACGAAAAAAGTCGCTTTCGAGTTGGTAAACAACAAAGAGTTAGCTTTGACGAAATGCAACGACGAAATCGTAGAGAAAATTGAAAAAGAGTCAGAAGCGAAACCGATTTATAAAGAAGACAAGAAAAAGGGGAAAGTTGATATTGCCACCTATAGAAAATATATATCGTTTGGTGGCGGCTATTTCCTCTTTGGTTTCATTATGGTCATGTTCGTGGTTGTCCAATCTATAGTGAGCTATAGCGATAAACTGGTGAGCAACTGGTGACGTAGCCCACAAACTCAAAAATTCCGTACTTATTGTTTGCTTCCAGGGTAACCCTCGAGCAGAACTTATCAAATTTTCAAATGATGAATATGACGAACACGTCTATATTCATTGAAACCGAGAGTCAAAGAACGAGTATCTTAAACCTGTACACTATCATTATAGTGTCATCGACGGCGCTCTCTCTAATGAAATCGCTAACCTTTTTCTCTTTCAACAGAAAAGCGTCTATCAATCTTCACAAAGTCATGATACAAAAGATAATCAATGCTAAAATGACTTTCTTCGATTCTCATTTTATCGGAAATGTACTTAATCGATTTTCTAAAGACTTGTGTACTATAGACGAACATTTACCCTTTGTGATGAACGAATGTTTCGAGGTAATTAATTGACTATCACTATCCCCCCTAACACTGTTTTCCGTAGTTATTATTTATTATGTTCGGGATTATTTTTCTCGTGGCGACCGTCAACGCCATTTTTCTCATTCCGGCGTCAATTTTCTTCGTCATTGCGTATTTGGCCAGATTCGTCTACCTCAGAACCGGTCGAAGTCTACAAAGACTAGAAGCGTCAAGTAAGTACGTAGGAAAGATGGTTGACTTTACTCAGTTAAACTTAGCTCGTAGCCCGCTGATTGGTCACTTGAATGCAAGCTTGGAAGGTCTGACCACAATCAGAGCTTTCAAAGCCCAACAAATCATCAAAGACGAGTTTGACAGACACCAAGATCTCTACACTTCTGTGAATTACACCCTCCATAACAGCATGCGAGCTTTGGCGTTCGTTTTAGACATGATGTGCTCTCTATTCATCATAATCGTCATCCTAAGATTTTTGATATTCGAAGATGGTAAGTCGACATTGATAACTATCATTTTTTTTTAAGTTGCGTTTTAGACACCACGGTGGGTAATGTGGGTCTTGCTATAACCCAAGCCTTCCATTTAACCGGTCTTCTCCAATACGGTATCCGAAGATGGGCAGATTTTGAAAACCAGATGACTTCAGTCGAACGCGTTTTACAATACACAGAAGTCGAACAAGAGAAGCAAGACGGTAAAACTGTCAAAGACTGGCCGCACGATGGCAACATCACTTACGACAAAGTCGCCTTAAAATACAACGACCGCAAAGTCCTCAACGACATCACTTTCACTATCAAACCACAACAAAAAATCGGCGTCGTTGGAAGAACTGGAGCTGGAAAGTCGTCGATTATATCAACTCTGTTCCGACTGTATGATATCGAAGGCAACGTCACAATCGACGGGGTTGATACTCAAGACCTCGCTCTTCATTTCTTGCGCTCCAACATCGCTATCATCCCACAGGACCCGGTTCTAATATCTGGAACCATCCGCGACAATATCGATCCGTTGAACCAACACAAAGACGACGATATTTGGAAAATTATCAAAATTGTCAAACTAGAAGACGTTGTGACTAACTTAAGCGACAAAATTGATGTCAATGCGACTTTCAGTGCCGGCCAGAAGCAGCTGATTTGTCTAGGTAGAGCCATAATCCGGCGCAACAAGATCGTGGTTTTAGACGAAGCCACTGCTAATTTGGACAACGAAACGGACTCTTTGATACGAAACGTGATCGACGAAAATTTTGCCTTGTGTACTGTGATAACTATAGCTCATAGGTTAGCGTCAGTTTTGGCTTCTGATGTTGTGATGGTGGTCGACGATGGAAGGATCGTGGAACAGGATGAACCGAAGAAGTTGTTAGAAAATAAAAATAGCTTGTTTTTTGAGATGATCAAACAAACGTAGTTAAATAAAGAATAAGAGTACTTGGGTTTTTTATTCGTGTTATGACAGTAGGTACATCCTGTTATCGAGGTTTAACACTAAAATGGAGATGTTTTCGTCTCGTGATGTTTGCTTTGTGGCTTTTTATCTCGGCCATTTCTTACTTGTTAGTACCTCAAACATTTTTAATAATCATTATGATAATCTGATAAAATAATTAAAAATTAAGAAAAAGTTGTTAGTAAACAACAAACACAGTCACTCTTTACCAAGATAAGATAAACTACCACCATTCAGCTATTGTAATTTGTTTACCTTTATTGATGTGTACTTTCTTATTGACATGGAAGGAAACAAAACTAATGCTTACGAGTACCCAGATTTTACGGTCATAAAATTCCGACACATGGATAAATATTGACTCAAGACTTTCACACTAATCCGATTTTTATAGACCCAATTGTTCGCACGCCAAATTTAAATCTGCATTAATGTGGGCTTGTGCGGATTTCACTGACGCAGCACTTAGTGGAATGTTGGTACTAGAATTAATTTATTACCGTCCAGTGTTTGAGCTATTATTTGAAATTTCATTATTTACTTTGATTAGATATCAAATTTCTCGTTTTTAAATCATCACTTTGTGAGTGGTGACCCAAGAGGAAGGATCCACTCAGGATGGATCACATCGGAAAAATAGAACGCAAGCTTCACCCCAAAGAAAAAGCCAATGTTCTATCAAAGCTTTCATTTTTGTAAGTTCGCCAAACTTCGATCTCTTGAAGACATTAATGTATTGTTTCCAGCTACACGGTGACGTTGTTCCGAAAAGGCCACAAACAGGACTTGGAAGAAGACGATTTGTACGAAGTCTTGTCTGATTATAGATCGAAGGAACTTGGAGACCAACTGGAAGCAGAATGGGAAAAAGAGAAAAAGCGAGGCAAAGGCATTTCGATTTTTCGAGTACTGTGGTCTTGCTACGGGTGGGAGTACTTTCTCTTGGGTCTGATTCAGCTCATTATCAAAACAACAATGATGTAAAGATCGTCGTCATTCTTAATTTTAGTCTAACTTTCAAATTTTAGAATTTTGCAACCTCAAGCCTTGTCAAAGTTGATTTCGTACTTCGACCACAAGCAGACCCACCTGACCAAAAAAGACGCCTATTTTTACGCAGGTCTCCTAATCGGGGTGAACCTAATCAACTGCATCTACGTCCATAATTACCACCTAGCTGTAACAGGACTGGGTATCCGAATTCGTACAGCCTTCTGTTCTTTTATTTACAGAAAAGCACTAAAGTTGAGCCCCACTCGACTCAGTGACATTTCCATCGGGAAAATCGTCACTTTGATCACCAAAGATGTCCACTCCTTCGAGAGTTTTATCCACTTTGCTAACGACATCTGGATCGGGGTTGTCAAATCGGCGGTTATTTTCTATATCATTTATAACAAAATCGGGGTTTCTGCGTTCGCTGGAATGGGTTTCTTCATTCTTATGTTACCTCTGCAAGGTAAGTTATTTTGTGACAATATAGGTTACTATAATGTTGTATTGTAGCCTTCATGGGGAAAATGGCAGCTGGGCTTCGCATGAAAATGTGCAAAAAAACAGACGATAGGTTACAACTTACCCAGGAGACGTTGTCTGCAGTCAAAATCATCAAAATCTACACTTGGGAGAAGTTCTTCAACAAGAAAATTGCTGAAGCTAGAAGGTACTTTTTGACTAACCAATCCAATTTATTTGAGTTCCATTTTTAGAAAGGAAATCAAAACCATGCACACCATCTTCGCTCTCAAATTCATCGTCCTCCAAATCGGCAACCTGAGCGGCAAAATGGCCTTCTACCTCCTCATTATGACCTACACCTGGATTGGCAACCACATAACCGCCGAAATCGTCTACTTCGTCGAAAGTTGTCTCCAAATCGTCACTCACACAATGAGCATCCTCTTCCCTCTTGGTATAACCCAAAGTGCTGAATTGACAGCCGCCATGAAACGAATCGGCAACGTTTTGAAAGCTTTGGAAATAAAAGGAGAGTCAGTGGAGCCAAACCCGACCCTCAAACCAAAAATAACCCTAAAAGATGCCACTGTAACGTTCAAAGAAAAAGAAATTCTTCATTCCGTTAGTCTGACAATGGATGTCGGTCTCACCCTCATCACCGGACCTGTCGGCTGCGGCAAGAGTTTCCTCCTCAAAACTATCCTCCAAGATTACGAACCAACCACCGGAGGTGTCGTAACCAAAGGACGAATTTCGTACGCGTCGCAGGAACCGTGGCTGTTTCCGTCGTCGATCAAACAGAATATTCTATTTGGGCAACAGTACGACGAACTTAGATACAAAGAGGTACTTAAGGTTTGTGCCTTAGTGTACGATTTAGAGCTGCTATCAGCTGGTGACAGCACCATCGTGGAAGACCGCGGTATCAACTTAAGCAAAGGCCAACAAGCCAGAATTAATCTCGCTAGAGCCGTCTACAAAGAAAGCGACATCTACCTTCTAGACGATTGTCTATCAGCTTTGGATGCCCACGTCAGCGACTTTATCTTCAAAGAGTGCATAATCAAGTTCCTCCGAAACAAACTGGTGGTTTTGGTGAGTCATAACGTCAACCATGTCAAAGATGTAGACAATGTGGTCATCATGCACAACGGTTCCATTTCGTCGTGCGTCAAATCGTCTGAAATTTCTGAAAAAGAAATACTCGAGGACATAATCGACGACGCTGAAGCCAAAAAGCCGGTCGATGCTTTGAATGAAGAAGACGACGATGATGACGAAAACACCAAACTAGTTACTGAAACCACCAAAGAAAGGAAAGTTTACCAAGAAGTGAAACAGAAAGGGGAAGTGGCTTTTGGGGTTTATTTCAAGTATATGAAGTTCGGGGGAGGTTTCTTGGTGTTTCTTTTATTGGTTGGAATTTTTGCAGTGTCGCAGTTTGTACACAGTTATGCAGATAAATTAGTTAGTAGATGGTGAGTAATCGACTTTGTTAGAATAGAATTAACACAATTGTTATTTTAGGGTAAACCTGGAGCAAAAAGTGTCCGACTTCAGTTTCAACAATATTACGAATCTGACTGAAGAACAACAATTGAAGATTGAAAGTTCGAGAGATTATTTACAACATCTTTACACTGGAATGATTGTGTTGACTGTGGCTTTCGAACTAGGGAGCATCATGTCGCTGTTTGCCGTAGCAAGACGAGCGTCCATCAAGTTGCACAAGTACATGATCGACCACATTGTTAACGCCACAATGCAGTTCTTCGACACCAACTTCATCGGTAACATTTTGAACCGGTTTTCTAAAGATTTGAGTGCCATTGATGAGCATCTACCTTTCGTCATATTCCAAGTTTTCAAGGTACTACCACAGAACTACCGCAACATTTGTTACTAACCATAATTGTAGGCCTTTTTTGTCATTCTTGGCGTGATCGTTTTGATAACCACAGTCAGTACGTCGTTCCTACTTCCAACAGCCATATTCTTCGTAATTTTGGCGTTCATTCGCAACTACTATCTTCCGACAGGACGTAGTCTGAAACGACTGGATGCTGCAAGTAAGTATGACTGACCTTCATGGTTAAATTTTTTCTAACGATGGGTTTTAGCGCGCAGTCCTGTCGTTGGTCACTTGAACGCAACCCTTGAAGGTCTTACAACAATCAGAGCTTTCAAAGCCGAAAGTATCTTACGAGATGAGTTCGACAGGCACCAAAATCTGTACACTTCGGCGTCTTATATTTCTCAGTGTAGCTTACGAGCGTTCGCCTATTGTTTAGACACCTTGAACACGGTCTTCATCGCAATCGTGATTCTTAGATTCATCGTATTTGATGATGGTACGTTAACCAACGACAAAGTCTCAAAATATGGTCATTATTGTTTTACAGTACCTCTGGCTGGAAGCGTGGGTCTCGCCATCACTCAAGCTTTCAGAATGACCGGGATCGTCCAATGGGCTATACGTCAATGGGCTGAAATTGAAAACTCGATGACTTCCGTTGAACGAGTCCTGGAATATACAGGAGTCGAACAAGAGAACAATCAAGGGCAAGCTACAGACAACTGGCCCACCAAAGGCGAAGTCAAATATTCGAACGTCTACCTCTCCTACAACAACTCAGACGAGTACGTACTGAAAAACATCAACTTTACAGCACACCCTCAAGAAAAAATCGGGATTGTTGGAAGAACCGGTGCCGGAAAATCGTCAATTCTTTCCACGCTTTTCCGGCTATATGAAGTGAAAGGAAGTATCACGATTGATGGAGTTGACACTAAAACGCTTTCGTTGGACTTCTTGAGAAAGCACATATCTATTATCCCTCAGGACCCAGTTCTCTTCACGGGGACGATTCGTGATAACATCGACCCTGAAGGACAGTACCCCGACGACCAAATTTGGAGAGCTGTAGAAACCGCGAACTTGATAAAACTAGTACCTAGTCTGGATTACGAGATTACCGAAAACGGGTCCAATTTCAGTGTGGGACAACGACAGCTGATTTGTTTAGCCAGAGCTGTTGTACGCAACAACAAGATTATCGTTTTGGACGAGGCTACAGCCAACATGGACCCTGAGACTGATGCTTTGATACACGAGACCATCCACAGGAATTTCGCTGCGTGTACGGTCTTCACCATAGCTCATAAGTTACATTCTATTATAGATTCAGATACAGTGATTGTGATGGATAAGGGACAGATTGTTGAGTATGACGACCCGATTAGCTTGTTGCAAAACAAGGAAGGGTTGTTCTACAAAATGGTGAAGAAGTCGGGGTTGTTGCCACCCGCTTTTGCCTAAACATTGTAAAAACTTAAGGTAATCGAGGTAACAAATTGTTTGTTTGTATCTATATTACTATGACTTTGTGTTGTATCTGTCTAGGGTGCAATTAACTCGTGTGACTGTACTAAGAAATCAAAATACTGTTTTATGTTATTTTTGATAGTACCTATGTTGTTATTGTTTTTGAATAAAAACGTAAAATGATGACTGTCGTCTATTTTTATTCACAATTTACATAAACGAATTAATAAAAATAGCAAGTTTGCAGCTAGATATTGTCCCCAAGCGCACACCTAATTGAATTTAACTGTTATTAGAGTCAATTTTAAGCACCCACTTTATTATTGTTATCTGAATACACAAGTTTAGCATGTGTACGTCTCTGAATTAGTATTATCATAAAGAGCGACATCTGCTCATAAATGTGTTAAATCCACATAATGTGTTACATTTTGTCCCTAAATTGTGACAACGGTGGAGAAAAAGAAAGCCAAAGTACGAAACATGGATCATACAACAAGAACAGCCAGATTACCGCATCCCCGGCGAAAAGCAAACTTGTGCTCAATCCTCACATTCGTGTACGAGTGCGGAAAACACACTCTTACTTATTGATTTTGTTGTTGTTTTAGTTACATGATACCACTGTTTAGGAAAGGGTCCAAGCAAACGCTAGACGAGGAAGATCTATACGAAGTACTACCCAACTTCGAAACAAAGAAATTAGGTGATCAGTTAGAAAATGAATGGATGAAGAACAAAGGAAAAGTACCGTTTGCACGTTTAATGTTTAAATGTTTCGGTGTGAATATTTTTTGGTTGGGGGTGTTAACACTGACAGCTTCAGTGGTAGACATGTAAGACGAACGACTTATTTAAATCAAGCTTAATCCAGTTTTTAGACTTGTCCATCCACATGCTTTAGCTAAAGTCATTTCTTACTTCGATCCAGACGAAAAAAATATGACCAAGTTGGATCTCTACTTCTACACTGGTCTTGTACTAGCAGTCAATATAATGTTGTGTGCTTACGTCCACAATTACAATTTAGGAACAGCAATACTAGGGATCAAAATTCGGGCAGCTTTTTCCTCCTTGATCTACAGAAAAGCGCTACGATTGAATTCAGCTCACTTAAAGCACGTATCTTCCGGTAAAATCATAACCCTTCTCACTAAAGATGTGTGCTGCTTCGAATATTTTTCTTTCTTAGTCAACGATATATGGGTCGGCATTGTGAAATTAATCGTCGTTTTTTACGTTATCTACATAAAAATTAGAGTGGCTGCTCTTGCAGGGATGGCGATTTATTTGATTGTGCTACCGCTTCAAGGTAAGTCAGTAGCTATGTTAGTACCGGAAAAAAATTATTGTTTCTAGTTTGCCTGGGGACTTGGGCTACCAATCTACGTAACAAAATGTGCACTAAAATCGACGAGAGGCTTCAAACGACTCAAGAGGCACTTTCTGCCATCAAAGTCATCAAAATGTACTCTTGGGAAAAATTTTTCGTTGATAGAATCACTAAAGCCAGGAAGTATGCAACCAACAATTTGTGGATTCGGGTTCAAGAAATTGTTTTAGGCAGGAGATTACAACTATGTTTGCTTTGTACTACTTAAGAATCACGATATTCCAAATCGGAGCGTTAAGTACCAACGTGGCTTTCTATCTTCTCATTATGACTTACCGATGGTTCGGAAACCACATAACCGCCGAAACTGTCTATTACATCAACGACTGCTTTCAAATTTTGTCGTACACTTTGGGAGTTCAACTCCCCAACTCCATTATATTCGTTGCAGAAGTAGTGGCGTCCGTACGAAGACTGATGCACTTCTTGTCATTGCCAGAAACGCAAACACCTCCTCAAGGTACTTCTTCTATTCACGCTAAAGTCACCCTCAACCATGTGGACGTTGGTTTTGACAAGAAGGTTCTCGAAAACGTCAACTTTGCAGTCAGTACAGGCATCACTTTTATCGCGGGACCAATCGCCAGTGGAAAAAGCACCCTTTTAAAGTTGATACTTCAAGAATATCAACCTTCCACCGGTACCGTTCTAACACAAGGAACCATCTCGTACGCTTCGCAAGATCCTTGGCTCTTTCCGTCGTCGATCAAACAAAACATTCTGTTCGGGCAAGAGTACGACGTTCTTAGATACCAAAAAGTGTTAAAAGTGTGTGCTTTAGAGTACGACTTAAACTTGTTACCAGACAAAGATGGTACGATTGTTGAAGATCACGGTATTAACTTGAGCAAAGGTCAACAAGCTAGAATTAACTTGGCACGAGCGGTTTACAAAAACGCAGACATTTATCTTCTAGATGATTGTCTCTCAGCGCTTGACAACCAAGTGGGTGATTTTATTTTCGAAGAGTGTATTAGAAAGTTTCTACAAAGCAAGATTGTCATATTCGTCAGTCATAACTCACGCTATTTGAAAAAAGTAGACCAAGTTTTAATGGTCGAAAGTGGAAAAGTAAAACCAATGAAGTTGTTGGAAGTTTTGGGGAAGTACGAAGAAACCAACGATGTCACTGAGGATCTACATTTGGACAATCGAATTTCACGACGAAATTTACAAGAAAGGAAAGTTTACCACGAATTTAATAAAACAGGAAAAGTGAATTTGGAAGTATATAGAATGTATATGTATTTCGCTGGTGGTATGATCTCTCTTTTATCGGTTCTCCTGTCCTATGGTACTTTTCAGTTTGTTGTCAGTTATTCCGATAAACTACTCAGTGAATGGTACGACCTCAAATAACTTAATACGACATTATAATCATTGTTTTAGGGTCAATCTTGAGCAGACGCTTTCCAATTTTACTGTTCACAATGACACGACGAGTGAAGTAGTTGCAGAAACTGTAACAACTCGTAACCACACACTTCAAATTTACACCACAATGACGCTTTTGTCGACTTTGGTGAACGTGGTGGCAGTACTTGTTTACTGCAAAGTAATCAAAAACGCTTCATTAAATCTTCACAGGCACATGATAACCAACGTAATAAATGCCACTATGCACTTCTTCGATTCCACTTTCATAGGTAACATTCTGAACCGGTTTTCACTTGACTTCAACGTGATTGACGATCACTTACCGTTCATGATCCATCAAGTTTTCCGGGTAAGTACTTTCCCAATAAAAACAAACTATCTTAATCAAGCTTTCAGGTCGCATTTATCATGATAGGAATCACAATCCTGATCGCCACAGTGAACACATTCTTTTTACTTCCATCGTTGATATTTTTCGGACTGTTTTATTTGTCAAGACGGTACTACTTAAAAACATCGAGAAGTCTGAAGAGACTCGAAATGTCAAGTACCCGAAGTACTCAATATGAAACTATATTCTATTGATTGAATTTTAGCTAGAAGCCCCGTCATCGGTTACTTCAACGCATCTCTAGAAGGCTTACCCACAATCAGAGCTTTCAATGCCCAATCAATTCTAAAAAGTGAATTCGATCACCACCAAAACTTGTACACTTCAGCTGCTTTCACCTTCCAGTGTTCAATGAAGACGTTTGCTTTCTACTTAGACACTCTATGCAAAGTCTTTGTTGCAATCATCATAGGACGATTTGTGTTTTCTGACGAAGGTAAATGTACTTAAGATGTCTTAGCGATTAGTGTTGACTATCTCTCTTCTAGAATTTCCTGCCGGCAGTGTCGGTCTTGCAATATCACAAGCGCTAAGAATGACTTCTACTTTACAATGGGGTGTTCGCATGTGGGCCGAAATGGAAAATTGTATGACGTCAGTTGAGCGAGCCCTGGAATATGGCGAAGTCAAACAAGAACCCAAAAAAGGTCAAATTCTGGACAACTGGCCGAAAAAGGGCGAAATTCAGTATTCGGACGTTTCTTTATCTTATAACGAGTCAGACGATTACGTTCTCAAAGAAGTTAACTTCACTGCACGTTCCAAAGAAAAAATTGGAGTCATTGGAAGAACGGGTGCTGGAAAGTCATCAATTATTTCCACGTTGTTCCGACTATATGAAACCGAAGGATCAATTACCATCGATGGTATCAATACAAAGTCACTCGCTTTGAATTACTTGAGGAGACACATTTCGATTATTCCTCAAGATCCTATTGTCTTCCGAGCAACCATTAGAGATAATATCGACCCGGAGAGGCTCTACACGGATAACCAAATCTGGAAAGCTATCAAAGCGGCTAATTTGACAAATTGTGTTCCAAGTCTAGACTACGAAGTTTCAGAAAATGGCTCGAATTTCAGTGTTGGACAAAGACAATTAATTTGTTTAGCACGAGCGGTTGTTCGTAATAATAAAATTGTTATTTTGGACGAAGTGACAGCCAATGTGGACGACGAAACCGACGCTTTGATAAACGAAGCAATCCAGGAGCAGTTTAAAGATTGCACTATAATTATGGTGGCACATAAACTACATTCTGTTGTTACCTTAGACAAAATTGTTGTTATGGCACAAGGGAGAATTACCGATTTTGATAGCCCTGCAAATTTAGTGAAGAAAAAGAACGGCTACTTCTATAAGATGGTCAAAAATTCTGAATTGTTGTCATCACTTAGTGAAGTGTAAATTTGTTACAGTGTTCTTAACGAGGTTCTTACTTAGTACTAAATGTTCTTAACAACGACAAAAATAAATTTCTCTCTACAATTGTTCTAAGAAAATCATACGATCCGTCGGAATTTTTATTTACCCTGAAGGTTTTCTATACATTGCTGTTGTACCACTTGAATTCGAGGACGGAGGAGAATTCTACAAAATTTTCAACAATGGTTTGATGTTTGCAACGATTGACCGCTAGAGAGCACCGCCTCTCGGGTACTTTGAAACACAACTGTTATTGACTTTTTGTATTTACAAACGTATATGTGTTTTTGAGTACTGATTGTCTGATATTTATGTGTACATTGAGAAGCTAGCAATAGCCCCGCCCACCCACCCTCTATTTTCTTAAAGGGTATATAATTTTCGAGAGTCAGTCTTATCGTAGCAAATACTAGCTCCGCCCGCCCACCCACCCGTTGTTTTCAAATTAAGACGGGGTGGGTGGGTGGGGTTAATTATATGTTCTTTTGTAGATTGAGAAGGAAATTATTAAAATATAATTACAAAAAGTACTCTTCGTTTTTTTTTTTTTGTTATACTACTTGCTATAAGATTTATTTCTTATTTCAGGCGAAAAACATATAAGACAATGGGTGGGTGGACGGGGCTAAGTTTAACTTTTTCCTACAGAGTATTTTACAAGCAAGCAATAGCGCCACCCACCCGCCCCCTCTTCATTCCAGTGATTACTCTTAATATTGTTCAATCATTTACCAAAATCAGCCTTATTTTAAGTACTACTAGCCTCGCCCACCCGCCCTCTATTTTCTTAAAGGGTACGTAATTTTCCAGAGTAATTCATATCTTAGCAAATACTAGCTTCGCCCGCCCACCCACCCGTTATTTTCTTAGGGATTAAGTCATTTATTAAAATCAGTCCTATCTTGTCAAGTACTGGCCCCGCCCACCCGTGTTATTCTCATTCTAACGGTTTTATTTCTGCTATGACTAGATCAAATGAATCACTGAAATGAAGACAGAGTGGGTGGGCGGGGTGAATTATATGTTTTTTTGTAGAGTGAAAATGGGAACTAATAAAATGTAGACTGTTAAAAAAATCGTTATTCTTAATTTTTTGTTATACTATTTTCTATAAGATTTATTTCTTATTGCAGAAGAAAAATTTAGAGAACGGGTGGGTGGGCGGGGCTAAGTTAATTTTTTCTTACAGTCTTTTATAAGCAAGCACTATCCCCACCCACCCATCCCCTCTCCATTCCAGTGATCACTTTTAACATTGTTCAGTCATTTACCAAAATCAGCTTTGTCTTAAGAAACACTAGCCCAGCCCACCCACCCTCTATTTTCTTAAAGGGCATGTAATTTTCCAGAGTCAGTCTTATCGTAGTAAATACTAGCTCCTCCCGCCCACCCACCCTTTATTTTCTTAGGGATTAAGTCATTTATTAAAGTCAGTCCTATCTTGTCAAGTACTGGCCCCGCCCACCCGTGTTTTTCTCATTCTAACGGTATTATTTCTGTTATGACTAGATCAAATGAATCACTGAAATGAAGACGGAGTGGGTGGGCGGGGTAAATTATATGTTCTTTTGTGGAGTGAAAATGGGAACTAATAAAATGTAGACTGTTAAAAAAAAGGCGCTAATCGTAATTTGCTACAAGATTTATTTCTTATTTCAGAAGAAAAATTATAATTATATGTTTTTTTTGTAAAGAGAATGGAAAATAATAAAATGGAGGAGGTTAAAAAAAATCGCTAATCGTAATTTTTTGTTATACAATTTTCCATAAAATTTATTTCTCATTTCAGAAGAAACAAATGAGAGAACGGGTGTGTAGGGGGGGCTAAGTTTAACTTTTTCTTACGGTCGTTTATAAGCTAGCAATAGCCCCGCCCACCCACTCCCTCTTCATTCCAGTGATCACTCTTAACATCGTTCAGTCGTTTACTAAAATCAGCCTTATCTTAAGAAAACTAGCCCCGCCCACCCACCCTGTATTTTCTTGGAGGGTACGTAATTTTCCAGAGTCAGTCTTATCTTAGCTAATACTAGCTCGACCCGCCCACCCACCCGTTGTTTTCTTAGGGATAAGTCATTTATTAAAGTCAGTCCTGTCTTGTCAGGTACTGGCCCCGCCCACCCGCGCTGTTCCCTTTCTAACGGTTTTATTTCTGTTCAGTATGAGATCCATCTTTCATTGGGACTAGATAAAATTATTCACTGAAATTAAGGCGGGGTGGGTGGGGCTAATTATATGTTCTTTTGTAGAGTGAGAAGGGGAATTAATAAAATATAGGCTGTCACAAAAAGCGCTCGTCGTAATTTTTTGTTATACTATTTGCTATAAGATTTATTTCTTATTTCAGACGAAAAACATATGAGAAAACGGGTGGGTGGGCGGGGCTAAGTTCAACTTCTTCTTACAGTCATATATAAACAAGCAATAGCCCCGCCCATTCACCCTATCTTCATTACAGTCTTTATTACACTTAACATTGTTCAATAATTTACCAAAATCAGCCTTATCTTAAGGAATACTGGACCTGCCCTGTATTTTCTTAGAGGATACGTAATTTTCCAGAATCAGTCGTATCTTAGCAAATACTAGCTCGACCCGCCCACCCACCCATTGTTTTCTTAGGGTTAAGTCATTTATTAAAGTCAGTTCTATCTTGTCAGGTACTGGCCCCGCCCACCCACGCTGTTCTCATTCTAACAGTTTTATTTCTATTCAGTATGAGATCCATCTTTCATTCGGACTAGATAAAATGATTCAATGAAATTAAGGCGGGGTGGGTGGGCGGGGTTAATTATATGTTCTTTTGTAAAGTGGGAAGGGGAATTATCAAATATGGGCTGTTACAAAAAGCGCTCGTCGTAATTTTTTGTTATACTACCTTATTTGCTATAAGATTTATTTCTTATTTCAGACGAAAAACATATGAGACAACGGGTGGATGGGCGGGGCTAAGTTTAACTTTTTTCCTGCAGAGTCATATATAAACAAGCAATAGCGCCGCCCACTCACCCCATCTTCATTACAGTGATTACACTTAACATTGTTCAATAATTTACCAAAATCAGCCTTATCTTAAAAAATACTGGACCTGCCCACCCACCCTGTATTTTCTTAAAAGATACGTAATTTTCCACAGTCAGTCTTCTCTTAGCAAATACTAGCTCCGCCCGCCCACCCACCATTTATTTTCTTAGGGATCAAGTCATTTATTAAAGTCAGTCCTATCTTGTCAAGTACTGGCCACGCCCATCCGTGTTGTTCTCATTCTAACAGTTTTATTTCTGTTCAGTATGAGATCCATCTTTCATTCGGACTAGATAAAATGATTCACTGAAATTAAGGCGGGGTGGATGGGCGGGGTTAATTATAGTGTCATTTGTAAAATGAAAATAGGAACTAATAAAATTTAGGCCGTTAAAAAAAGGGTAATAGTAATTTTTTGTTACACAATTTGCTATAAGATTTATTTCTTATTTCAGACGAAAAACGTATGAGACAATGGATGGGTGGGCTGGGCTAAGTTTAACTTTTTCCTACGGAGTCATATATAAACAAGCAATAGCCCCGCCCACTTACCCCATCTTCATTACAGTGATTACACTTAACATTGTTCAGTCATTTACTAAAATCAGCCTTATCTTAAGAGATACTAGCCCCGCCCACCCACCCGTTATTTTCTTAGGGAATAAGTCATTTATTAAAGTCATTTCTATCTTGTCAGGTACTGGCCCCGCCCACCCGCGCTATTCTCATTCTAACGATTTTATTTCTGTTCAGTATGAGATACATCTTTCATTGGGACCAGATAAAATGAATCACTGAAATGAAGGCGGGGTGGGTAGGCGGGGTTAATTATAGGGTCATTTGTAAAATGAAAATGGGAACTAATAAAATTTAGGGCGTTAAAAAAAAGGCTAATAATAATTTTTTTTTATACAATTTGCTATTAGATTTATTTCTTATTTCAGAAGAAAAAAATAGAGAACGGGTGGGTGGGCGGCGCTAAGTTTAACTTTTTCCAACAGAGTCTTTTACAAGCAAGCAATAGTCCCGCCCACCCGCCCCCTCTTCATTCCAGTGATTACTCTTAATATTGTTCAGTCATTTACCAAAATCAGCCTTGTATTAAGAAACACTAGCCCCGTCCACCCACCCTCTATTTTCTTAAAGGGTACGTAATTTTCCAGAGTCAGTCTTGTCGTAGCAAATATTAGCTCCGCCCGCCCACCCACCCTTTATTTTCTAAGGGTTTAATTCATTTATTATTTATCTTGTCAAGAACTGGCCCCGGCCACCCGTGTTGTTCTCATTTTAACGGTTTTATTTCTGTTCAGTATGTGATCCATCTTTCATTACGACTAGATCAAATGAATCACCGAAATGAAGACGGGGTGGGTGGGCGTAGTGAATTACATGTTCTTTTGTAGAGTGAAAATGGGAACTAATAAAATGCAGACTGTTAAAAAAAGGCGCTAATAGGAATTTGCTACAAAATTTATTTCTTATTTCAGGCACTGACAAAGTCGAAGTTTTATTAAATTGGTCTCAATTAGTGCAGTAAATTTTCAAAAAAAATTTACTACCAAAATCAAAAAAGGCAAAATTGTTGTAATATACATCCTAATTAAATTAAATTACTTATTTAAATTTACTAATTGCTACTTTCCAAGCATCTGCCAATTTCACGATTTATTGACATTTCATAAGCTACAGTTATGATCCGAAACTACTAGACTGGTTGTTGTAAAAGTGTAGGTGTATTTTAGTAGTTAAAATTTTTCTTATTGACATAAATGAATTAATAAAAAGTAACAAGTTTGGTAATTACCCCCAAGTGCCCACTTAATTAAATTTAACTGTTATTAGAGTCAATCTTAAGCACCCACTTTATTGTAATTGCCTGAATACACAAGTTTAGCGTGTGTACGTCTCTAAATTATCACTATGATTAAGAACGACATATGCCCACAAATGGGTTAAATGTGTAATATTATGCTCACAAATTGGAACAACGATGAGATGAAACGTTACGCTCAGTTTGTAATAAGCGGTAGTAGTTGACAATAAAATGGATCATACAACACGAACCCCCAAAGAACCTCATCCTCGACAAAAAGCAAATATATTTTCTCTTCTCACATTCATGTATGAATACAGAAAATATTTGTTCTTAATATATTTTGTTTTTCCTTCTAGTTACATGATACCTCTGTTTAGAAAAGGTTCGAAGCAAAGTCTAGAGGAGGACGATTTATACGAAGTACTGCCGAACTGTGAATCGAAAAAATTAGGTGACCAGTTAGAAAACGAATGGAAGAAAAACAACGGGAAAGTGTCAATCGGACGATTAGTATATTCTTGTTTCCGATGGGATATTTTTTGGCTTGGGATGGTCACGCTGGCTGCTTCAATTGTGGACATGTAAGACAAATTATATGTTTAATTCAAAGTTATTTTTTTAGACTTGTACAACCCTATGCTTTAGCCAAAGTTATCTCCTACTTCAATCCAGACGAAAAAAATATGACCAAGTTAGATCTTTACTTACACACCGGTCTTCTACTAGCAGTCAATGTACTGATGTGTGTTTACACTCACAACTGCAATTTAGCAATTACGGTATTATGGTTCAAAATTCAAGCTGCTTTCTCTTCGTTGATCTACAGAAAAGCACTAAGGTTAAATTCGGCTCACTTAAAGCAAGTTTCTGCTGGTAAAATCACGACCCTTCTTACCAAAGACGTCTACTGCATGGGATATTTTTCTTTTCTAATCAATAGTTTATGGGTTGCAATTGTGAAAATCATTGTCGCTTTTTACGTTATCTACAGAAAAGTTAGTATGGCAGCGGTGGCAGGGATGGGAGTTTACATGATCGTGTTACCTTTACAAGGTAAGTGTTGTCAATACCAGTAGTGGCAAAATTGAACGAAATTGTTTAGTGTGTTTGGGGACTTGGGCTACCAAACTGCGTACCAGAATGTGTACAAAAATAGACGAGAGACTTGAAACGACTCAAGAGGCACTTTCAGCCATCAAAACCATCAAGATGTACTCTTGGGAAAAATTTTTCGTTGACAGAATCACAAAAGCAAGAAAGTATTGAAGTAAGGATTGCTTAACTAGTGCTTAAGGATGTGTTTCAGGCAGGAAATTAAAACTATGTATGGATTGTACTACCTCAATGTGACTATCTTGCAAATTGGAACTTTAAGCTCCAACGTAGCTTTTTATCTTCTCATTATGACATACCAGTGGCTTGGAAACCAAGTGACCGCTGAAGTTCTTTACTACGTAGACAATTGCTTTCAAATTTTGTCGTGGGCTTTGGGAGGTCAATTTCCAGAGTGCATCATGTATATAGCAGAAGTAGTCGCTTCGTCAAAAAGAATAATGGATTTTCTAAACTTACCAGAAGCAGAAACACCTTCCCAAGATATATGTTCAACTGAAGCTAAAGTCACATGCAAAAATGTAGACGTTGCTTTTGACAAAACGATTCTCGAAAATATCAACCTTACCATTAATACAGGAATCACTTTCATCACAGGACCAATAGCCAGTGGAAAAAGTACTCTTTTAAAGTTAATACTTCAAGAACATCAACCTTCCAGTGGTACTATCCTAACACAAGGAAAAATCTCGTACGCGTCGCAAGATCCTTGGCTCTTCCCTTCATCCATCAAGCAAAACATTCTGTTCCGAGAAGAGTACAACGATCTTAGATATCAAAAGGTATTAAAAGTGTGTGCTTTAGAGTACGACTTAAATTTGTTACCAGATAAAGATGCAACGATAGTTGAAGATCGCGGTATTAACTTGAGCAAAGGCCAACAAGCTAGAATTAACCTGGCAAGAGCGGTTTACAAGAACGCCGATATTTATCTTCTAGATGATTGTCTTTCAGCGTTAGATAACCAAGTGGGTGATTTTATTTTCGAAGAATGTATCAGAAAGTTTCTCCAAAATAAAGTGGTAATACTTGTAAGTCATAACTCACGGTATTTGAAAAAGGTAGACCAGGTTTTAATGGTAGAAAGTGGAAAAGTAAAACCAGTGAAGTTGTTGGAAATTTTTGAAAAGTACAAAGATGTCACTGAAGATTTACATTTGGAACACCAAATTTTAAGGAAAAATGTAAGAGAAAGGAAAGTTTACCAAGAAATTAGTAAAAAGGGGGAAATAAAATCAGAAGTGTATAAAAAGTACTTGCATTTTTCTGGTGGAGTAGTCTCTCTTGTAGCTATTCTTTTGTCCTATGGTGTTGCTCAGTTTGTTGTTAGTTATCCCGATAAACTACTCAGCGAATGGTACAACAACAAGTGTTAATATAATACGACATAATAATGTATGATTTTAGGGTCAATCTTGAGCAAAAGCTTTCTAATTTGACGTCACACAACGACACACTAGATGATATTGTTGCAGAAACAGTAAGAACTCGTGATAACAAACTTCAAATTTACACCATAATGACACTTTTGTCTACTTTTGTAACCGTAGTGTCGATCATTGTTTACTGTAAAATATTCATAAAGGCTTCATTAAATCTTCACAAACACATGATAACCAACGTACTAAACGCCACCATGCACTTCTTTGATTCCACTTTTATAGGTAATATTCTGAACAGGTTTTCACTCGACTTCAATGTAATTGACGATTACTTACCCTTCATGATAAATCAAGTGTTTCGGGTACGAAAAGACATTCCTAAAGAAAAAATACTCATGTTCATTATTTTAGATGATTTTCGCACTAATTGCAATTATGATATTAATAGCCACAGTGAACACTTCTTTTTTACTACCATCGGTTCTATTTTTTGGACTGCTGTTTTTATCAAGAAGATACTATTTAAAAACATCGCGAAGTCTGAAAAGACTTGATATGTCGAGTAGCAAAATCAAACAAAATGTACCCTTCTCTCTATTCTGATTAAATTTTAGCTAGAAGTCCAGTCATAGGTTACTTTCATGCATCTCTAGATGGTTTATTAACAATCAGAGCTTTCAAAGCTCAATCAATCCTGAGAAATGAATTCGATCGCCACCAAAATGTGTACACTTCGGCCTGTTACATCTTCCAGTGTTCCATGAAGTCGTTTGCTTTCTACGTTAACATTCTTTGCATCGTTTTCGTTGCTATAGTTATTGCAAGATTCGTATTTTCTGATGAAGGTAAATATAAACATTTTTTAGTCAACAGTTTTAACTACGTCTTTCCAGAATTCGCAGCCGGCAGTGTAGGACTCGCAATATCACAAGCGCTAAGAATGGCTTCTATTTTACAATGGGGTGTTAGAATGTGGGCCGAAATGGAAAATTTTATGACTTCAGTTGAGCGAGCACTGGAATATGGTGAAGTCAAACAAGAACCCAAAAAAGGTCAAATTCTGGATAACTGGCCGAAAAAGGGCGAAATTCAATTTTCGAACGTTTCTTTATCTTATAACGAGTCAGACGATTACGTTCTCAAAGAAGTTAACTTCACTGCACGTTCCAAAGAAAAAATTGGAGTCATTGGAAGAACAGGTGCTGGAAAGTCATCAATTATTTCCACGTTGTTCCGACTATATGAAACCGAAGGATCAATTACCATTGATGGTATCAATACAAAATCACTAGCTTTGAATTACTTGAGGAGACACATTTCGATTATTCCTCAAGATCCTGTTCTCTTCCGGGGAACTATTAGAGATAATATCGATCCGGAGCGGCTCTACACGGACAGTCAAATCTGGAAAGCTATCAAAGCAGCAAATTTGACAAATTGTGTTCCAAGTCTAGAATACGAAGTTTCAAAAAATGGCTCGAACTTTAGTGTTGGACAAAGACAACTAATTTGTTTAGCACGAGCGGTTGTACGTGATAACAAAATTGTTATTTTGGATGAAGTCACAGCCAATGTGGACGACGAAACTGACGCTTTGATAAACGAAACTATCAAGAGGCAGTTTGAACATTGTACTATAGTTGTGGTGACACATAAACTGCATTCTGTTATTAATTTAGATAAAATTGTTGTTATGTCACAAGGAAAAATTGTAGACTTTGATAGCCCATCAAATTTACTGAAAAGGAAGAACGGCTACTTCTACAATATGGTAAAAAATTCTGAACTATTGTCATCACTTACATAGAAAATGTTCTTTAAAAAACAAAATAGATATGTTTAGATAAAATTTAATAAATTGATTAAGTACATGTTAGTTGAAGTCATATTTGTTAGTTTTATACCGAATTACTTTTTTCAATGTATTATATTACAATACAGTTTTTAAAACACCTTGTGTTGGTTTATTCCGAAGCACATTTTATATGTAATTTTTAGTTAACACTGCTTGATTTTCTTAATAACAATAACTGATGCGTTAAATTTTAATTTTATATAGTTACAAGAAGAGCAGACGACTTTTATTTGTCGTTATATATTCATATCACATCATGTTGCTTGTTTAGTTCAAAAACCAAATTGTCTTAAACACCTATTAAATCTAAAGTTCTAAATTTTCAAATAAGTGACTATATCGTATTAGGACTAATTCAAGACTCCCACATGTATATTACAAGTTGAGCTGCGTTATGCAAATTTACTTTACAATTTAGTTTACCTAATGTATTGCCTACAAGTAGATGTATTTTTGATAGAAGTAGAATCCTGTCATTATTTGCAAGACGAAAAATAAAACTTTGGTGAGTAATTTTGTCGACAAAAATATGAAAATTAAGTACCACTTTACCCACCTAAAAATAGATAAATCCAAAATAATCTTCATTCTACCCGACTAGAATGGATCACATTGGAAAACAAACCAAAGAAGTACATCCACGGCAAAAAGCCAACATTTTTTCGCTTATCTCATTCTTGTAAGCCTCTCTTACTTGTTCAAAAAACAAATTATAGCTACATATAATTTTGCAGCTACACGTTAAGATTATTCAGAAAAGGCACTCGACGAGATCTCGAAGAGGAAGATCTTTACGAAGTCTTACCCAAGTACACTTCCAAAAGACTCGGCGACAAATTTGAAAGAGAGTGGGAGAGGCAGAAAAAGCAAAACAACAAAAATTCAATTTTGCGTCTGCTGTGGGCTGTTTTTGGAAAACACGTTATATTGCTTGGAATAACGCAACTCATCTCCAAAACTATTTTAATGTAAGCTGCTCCTTCCAGGCTTTTGTGTCCTTTATTGTTCATTCTAGCATTTTCCATCCCCATGCTTTGAGCAAAATTATCTCCTATTTTAATCCTGGTCAAACTGAAATGACAAAGAACGATCTGTACTTATGGTCTGGTCTTTTGATAGGAGTTAATTTGATAGATGTGTTCTATGCCCATAATTACCACATGGAAATGGCTGCTCTAGGCATCAAAATTCGCGCAGCTTTTTGCTCTTTCATCTACAGGAAAGCTTTGAAGTTGAATCCAGCACAACTAGGAGATATTTCAATCGGGAAAATTGTTACCCTAATTACCAAAGATGTTTCCTGTTTAGAGCGTTTTTCCTATTTAGTTAATGACCTGTGGATTGCTGGGCTCAAAGCAGGTGTTGCTGGGTACGTCGTCTACAGAAAAATAAATGTAGCGGCTTTTGCAGGAGTAGGATTTTTTTTCCTAATATTACCAATTCAAGGTGAGTCTTCTAATTCCTTAATTTAATATAAAACTCAATTTTATGTTGTAGTTTATCTAGGCACTAAGGCTGCCAAACTACGTCTAAAAATGTGCAAAAAGGTAGATGAGCGTCTTCAAAAAACCCAAGAGACTCTTTCTGCAATCAAAATAGTGAAAATGTACACTTGGGAAAAGTATTTCAACGACAAAGTGATAGACGCCAGAGAGTAAATATTAACACTATCTTTGTCAAAAATTCTTCTTTTATTTTCCTAGGAAAGAAATCAGAGGCATGCAACTCATCTTCTACCTCAAGTTTATCATCCTCCAGATCGGTCTCCTTAATGGCAAAATTGCTTTTTATCTTCTTATCATGACTTACAAGTGGCTTGGAAATCACGTAACAGCCGAAATCGTCTACTACATCGACTATTCTTTCCACATTCTCTCACACACTCTAGGAATTAGATTCCCTTCAGCCATCTCTCAAGTGGCAGAAGTCACCGCTTCCGTTAAACGTCTCGGCAATGTTCTAAAAGCACTAGAGGTGCAAGAAACCCCTGAAGAAACCGACCTAGTCATCAAACCAAAAGTCGCGCTGAATAACGTAGACGTTACCTTCAAAGAGAAACACGTTTTGCACTCCATCAACCTCAACGTCGATCTGGGTGTTACACTTATAACCGGACAAGTTGGAAGTGGCAAAAGTTTTCTCCTTAAAACAATCCTCAAAGAATTTGAACCTTCGAATGGTACAGTTTTAACCCAAGGCAGAATTTCTTACGCGTCACAGGAACCCTGGCTTTTCCCATCATCCATAAAACAGAATATTTTGTTCGGGGAGAAGTACGACGAAACCCGATACCAGGAGGTGTTGAAAGTTTGCGCTTTGTTGTACGATTTTGAGTTGTTGGCGGAAGGTGATGCGACTATCGTCGAAGACAGAGGGAACAACTTGAGCAAAGGGCAACAAGCTAGAGTTAATTTAGCTCGTGCTGTGTACAAAGAGAGTGAGATTTATCTCTTGGATGATTGTCTGTCAGCTCTTGATAGTCAAGTCAGCGATTTTATCTTCAAAGAGTGTATCATGAAGTTTCTACAAAACAAACTGGTGATTTTTGTAAGCCACAACGTAAGTCATGTTAAAGAAGTGGACAATGTGGTGATCATGCGTAATGGAGTGGTTACGTCGCATGTTAAGTCAGCTGAAATTTCTGAGAAGGACATTCTACAAGAAGTAGATGCAGAAGAAACGACGATAGAGAGTGGCGACGACTTGGAGGTGGAAGCTGAAGCAGACGAGGAAACGAAAATCATCACTGAAACCACAACGGAGAGAAAAGTCTACCAAGAAGTCAAAAAGAAAGGCAAAGTTGATTTTGACGTGTATAAGAAATATTTAGACTTCGGTGGCGGAATTTGGGCTTTGTTGCTAGTCGTTTCGTTGTATGGTACAGCGCAATTCTTCGATAGCTATGGCGATAAGTTAGTCAGTCGATGGTAAGATTTTGTCTACGCGAAAACACCAACCATGTCATACTTTTGTAGGGTAAATTTTGAACAAGAGATTGCCAATTTAACTTTGTTCAACACCACGAATACTACAGTACTGCAAGCAAAGGAAGAAGCTGAAGACAATCGTGACTACGTTCTACAAATGTTCACCGCAATGATAATTCTAAATACTGTTTTCAGTGTTTTTAAATCTGTAGGTTTCTACTCGGTGATAAGGCGGGCTTCCATTAATCTCCATAAGTACATGATTACCCATGTTATCAATGCTACTATGCATTTTTTCGATACTAACTTCATCGGGAACATCTTGAACCGATTTTCCAAAGATTTAACCACAACTGACGAATATCTCCCTATCATCTATCACTATGTGTTTGGAGTAAGTCACAAGAAACAGTTTAAAGCAAAATAAAGTCTTCCATGTTGTAGACCGGCCTTTATGTCACTGGAGTCATAGTAGTGATCGCAACAGTCAATGTCTATTTCCTAATCCCTACGACTTTCTTCTTAGGGTTGTTGATAGTCTTACGAATGTACTATTTGAAGACTGCCCGAAGCTTGAAACGACTAGACGCCATAAGTAAGTCCAAAGTTTCTTGAAGCGTAACAAAATATAAAGAAAATTGCAGCCAGAAGTCCCGTTGTTGGCCATTTGAACGCCACTCTGGAAGGTTTGACGACCATACGAGCTTTCAAAGCTGAAAATAGCCTTCGTGATGAGTACGACCGTCACCAAGATTTGTATACTTCAGCTACTTACATTTTCACAAACATGATGAGAGCTTTTGCTTTCGGTTTGGACTTTCTGTGTACTCTTTTCATTGCAGCAGTAATTGCAAGATTTGTTTTCTCCAACGATGGTGAGTCCCGATGACACTCTTTCAATTCCTGAGTTTTTCTTTTAGTGTTTTTGGCTGGTAGTGTCGGTTTGGCTATATCACAAGCCTTAAGAATGACAGGAACTCTCCAGTGGGGAGTCCGGATTTGGGCAGAAATGGAGAACTGCATGACTTCCGTTGAACGTGTCTTGGAATACACCGAAGTGAAACAGGAGAGTACTCAAGGACAAGATTTGGACAACTGGCCCAAAGAAGGTGAAGTGAAATACCAGAATGTGTATTTATCGTATAACGAGTCAGACGAGTACGTTTTGAAAAATATCAGCTTTACTGCCCATCCACAAGAAAAAATTGGCATTGTTGGTAGAACAGGGGCTGGAAAGTCGTCCATCATTTCTACTCTGTTTCGACTTTATGAAGTCGACGGGACAATCGCTATTGATGGCGTTGATACTAAACTGATGTCTTTAGATTGTTTACGTAAGCACATCTCGATTATCCCTCAAGATCCGGTTCTCTTCACTGGAACTATCAGAGACAACATAGATCCTGAAGGACAATACACTGATGACGTTATCTGGAACGCGATTGACTCTGCTTACTTGAAGAAGTTAATTCCGAGCTTGGACTATGAAATTACTGAAAGCGGCTCTAGTTTCAGTGTAGGGCAAAGACAACTGATTTGTCTCGCTAGAGCTATTGTTCGGAACAACAAGATCATAGTACTGGATGAAGCTACAGCTAATATGGATCCGGAAACTGATGAACTGATCCACCAGACGATTCATAAGAGTTTCAAGGATTGTACTGTATTTACTATAGCGCATAAGTTACATTCTATTATCAATTGTGATAAAATCATTGTTATGGATAAGGGAGAGATGATTGAGTGTGGTGATCCCGACAGTTTGTTGCAGAATAAAAAGGGAAACTTTTATAGGATGGTAAAGAAGGCGGGAATTATGGACAGATAGTGTGCCATATTTTGTTTGTAAAATGAAAATGAAAAAAAACGTAGTGTATAAAACATAAAATAGTACTAGGATGGATCTATCAACCTGTCATGTTTATATTGTTTAAGCAAAAATAAAACAGCTTATTTTGCAGTTGATGGATTTTATCTGTTTGCTTCTTTCAAACAATAAATGATGAAACCTTGATCTTGCCAGACGTAAGACTGCAAAGTTGATTTCGTCGTGTCAAAAAATTACAAGTTTATGAATAGAACTGTTACCAAGTGTACACCTAATAGAATTTAAGTATTTATTAGTCAATTTTAAGCACACACTTTATTATTTACTTTTTATGTCATCTACAGAAAACACACTTGATCGTGTTACTTTCACAAGGTAAGTGTTGTCAATACCAGTAGTAGCAAAATTGGAGCAAATTGTTTAGTATGTTTGGAGACTTGGGCTACCAAAATGCGTACCAGGATGTGTACTAAAATAGACGAGAGACTTGAAACGACTCAAGAGGCACTTTCAGCCATCAAAACCATCAAACTCTACTCTTGGGAAAAATTTTTCGTTGACAGAATCACAAAAGCAAGAAAGTATTGAAGTAAAGATTGCTTAATTAGTGCTTAAGGTTGTATTTTAGGCAGGAAATTAAAACTATGTACGGATTGTACTATCTCAATGTGACTATCTTGTGACCGCTGAAGTTCTTTACTACGTAGACAATTGTTTTCAGATTTTGTCGTGGGCTTAGGGAGGTCAATTTCCAGAGTGCATCATGTTTATGGCAGAAGTAGTGGCTTCGTCAAAAAGAATCATGGATTTTCTAAATTTACCAGAAACAGAAACACCTTCCCAAGATATATGTTCAACTGAAGCTAAAGTCACATGCAAAAATGTGGACGTTGCTTTTGACAAAACGATTCTCGAAAATATCAACCTTACTATTAGTACAGGAATCACTTTCGTCACAGGACCAAAAAGCCAGTGGAAAAAGTACTCTTTTAAAGTTAATACTTCAAGAACATCAACCTTCCAGTGGTACTATCCTAACACAAGGAAAAATCTCATACGCGTCGCAAGATCCTTGGCTCTTCCCTTCATCCATCAAACAGAACATTCTGTTCCGGGAAGAGTAAACGATCTTAGATATCAAAAGGTATTAAAAGTGTGTGCTTTAGAGTACGACTTAAAGTTGTTACCAGACAAAGATGCTACGATAGTTGAAGATCGCGGTATTAAGTTGAGCAAAGGCCAACAAGCTAGAATTAACTTGGCACGAGCGGTTTACAAGAACGCCGATATTTATCTTCTAGATGATTGTCTTTCAGCGTTAGACAACCAAGTGGGTGATTTTATTTTCGAAGAATGTATCAGAAAGTTTCTCCAAAATAAAGTGGTAATACTTGTAAGTCATAACTCCCGGTATTTGAAAAAGGTAGACCAGGTTTTAATGGTAGAAAGTGGAAATGTAAAACCAGTGAAGTTGTTGGAAATTTTGGAAAAGTACAAAGATGTCACTGAAGATTTACATTTGGAACACGAAATTTTAAGGAAAAATGTAAGAGAAAGGAAAGTTTACCAAGAAATTAGTAAAAAGGGGGAAATAAAATCAGAAGTGTATAAAAAGTACTTGCATTTTTCTGGTGGTGTAGGCTCTCTTGTAGCTATTCTTTTGTCCTACGGTGTTGCTCAGTTTGTTGTTAGTTATCCCGATAAACTACTCAGCGAATGGTACAACAACAAGTATTAAGATAATACGACGTAACAGTGTATGATTTTAGGGTCAATCTTGAGCAAAAGCTTTCTAATTTTACTTCACACAACGACACACTAGATGATATTGTTGCAGAAACAGTAAGAACTCGTGATAACAAACTTCAAATTTACACCATAATAACACTTTTGTCTACTTTTGTAACCGTAGTGTCGATCATTGTTTACTGTAAAATATTCATAAAGGCTTCATTAAATCTTCACAAACACATGATAACCAACGTACTAAACGCCACCATGCACTTCTTTGATTCCACTTTTATAGGTAATATTCTGAACAGGTTTTCACTCGACTTCAATGTAATTGACGACTATTTACCATTCATTATAAATCAAGTGTTTCGGGTAAGAAAAGACATCCCTAAAGAAAAAATACACATGTTCATTATTTTAGATGATTTTCGGACTAATTGCAATTATGATATTAATAGCCACAGTGAACACTTCTTTTTTACTTCCGTCGGTGCTATTTTTTGGACTGCTGTTTTTATCAAGAAGATACTACTTAAAAACATCGCGAAGTCTGAAAAGACTCGATATGTCGAGTAGCAAAATCAAACAAAATGTACCCCTCTCTCTATTCTGATTAAATTTTAGCTAGAAGTCCAGTCATAGGTTACTTTCATGCATCTCTAGATGGTTCATTAACAATCAAAGCTCAATCAATCCTGAGAAATGAATTCGATCGCCACCAAAACGTGTACACTTCGGCCAGTTATATCTTCCAGTGTTCCATGAAGTCGTTTGCTTTCTACGTAAACATTCTTTGTACCGTTTTCATTGCTATAGTTGTTGCAAGATTCGTATTTTCTGATGAAGGTAACTATAAACATTTTTTAGTTAAGAGTTTTAACTACGTCTTTCCAGAATTCGCAGCCGGCAATGTAGGACTCGCAATATCACAAGCGCTAAGAATGACTTCTATTTTACAATGGGGTGTTAGAATGGAAAATTTTATGACTTCAGTTGAGCAAGCACTGGAATATGGTGAAGTCAAACAAAAACCCAAAAAAGGTCAAATTCAGGATAACTGGCCGAAAAAGGGCGAAATTCAATATTCGAACGTTTCTTTATCTTATAATGAGTCAAACGATTACATTCTAAAAGAAGTAAACTTTCCTTTTGACAATGATTTCCTGTTGATTTCCCCCGATTTCTTTTGATTTCCTCTGATTTCCTTTGATTTCCTGTAATTTCCTTTGATTTCCTTTGATTTCCTGTGATTTCCTTTGATTTTCTGTGATTTCCTCTTGATTTCCGATGATTTCCTGTGATTACCTCTTGATTTCCTATGATTTCCTTTTGATTTCCTCAAAATTTGTTTACATAATGTACTACAGGGAGATTGTTAACTTTTTTTTAACTTGACTTTTTTATTTTGTCGATAATTATGTTGAATTTAAACCTTTTTTTACCAAGTGTTTACTAACGTACGGTGACTAGGTAAGCTGAAGTGCTTTCCCTTTAGACGAAAAAAATATAAATAAAATGTATTGTGCTGCTAAGCAACAAACTGAAATGTTTAAGAAAAAAAATCTGATTTACTTACAAAAAGAACGCTACTCTAAAATCGAAGTTTTAGATGTCTAAATCAATAGAGTAAGTATACGTTCGAATTTTACACTTTTTTGGGTCAAATGTTTCTTCTAAAAGTGGACATATGCAACATTCTAGATTTTTTGCACATTCAGTCAGAAAACTTTATGGTGTATTTTAATTTTGAAATTAAAAATGTCTGGTGTGTACAAATTAGTTCGTTTAAATCACTAAAAGAATTAATAATAATTTATATTATATATTATTATTAATTTTTTAATAAATTATATTATGAAATTTTGCTTTTGACTTTACGAAATTAAAAGTACATAAGGCCAAGGATATTTTTAGTTATGTCAGCAGTTTTTACTTATCAGTGACTCATAAGGCAACAACGACTGACTCATACGTTCGCAGAGGTAATTAATGAATCCCAAATAGTCCAAAATCATTCTATTAGGTTCATCTCTGTGTTGTGCATACAAGATCATGTTAAAGTTTGACCTACTAAATCAAACTTATAATAATAACTTAAGTCATTACTTTTTAAAAATTGGGTTTATTCATTTATTATGGTAGCATAAACAGAAAAAAACAAGTAGTTTCATTTATTTTATTAAATGTTAAAAAAAACGGTAACTCTAAACATAAAAGTAAAGCATTTCTGTTGGATCATAACAAAATATCACAAAATAAAACAACTTCTTAAAAAATACTTACCCCATAACCTGGGTCGAGATTTGTGTATATATTGTAGATGATGTTGAAGTAAAAAACTTTACTAAATTCTAGCTACCCATAACTACAGATGATAACACTTTTAATTTTTTGTTCACAACTTTCAAATGAAGCATATTAGAAAAAAACATTTGAAATGCAAAATTTAACACGTAAGAATTTTTTTTGCACAATAAAGGAGTGGATAACCCCATTTGATAAATTTTCAGAGGTAATTTTCCCCTTTAAAAGTGTTCATGGGCACCTAGAATTTAGCACAGTTTCTTACTTTAGTATTCTCTACGATATATACTTGTACAAATCTCGACCCAGGTTGAGGTTACATTATCACAAATTTTAACCACATCACTTAAAAAAAAACTAGAATTAAATCAAATATTTTTTCAATATTTTTTTTTCCAAAACTAAACTGCCTCTCCTGAGTACCTGAGGTGGAGGTAGTTTCATTATATATTCATTTTCTTGGATCTCCCCCTGATCTTTAATGTCCGGAAACATAAAAGCATCCGGAATTTTTGTAACATTTTTTGTTTTGTTTTTGAGTTGTTAATTGTACTATAATATAATCGTCTATATTTAAGTCTGGTTTAGAACGATTAGTCTTACTATTTTCAGCCTTGAGATTTAAACGAGGATTCAAATCATCAGACTAATTGGAAGAATTCAAACTTTCGGTGTCCATGCTGTCATCATATTCGATACTACTTGGGTTGTCTAAATCAGATGAGTCACTTGATATATTATAGCGTCTTTTTTGTTTTCTAATTTGGACTGGTTTTTGAATTTGAGATGCATCTTTATGTTGAAGGCAGGTATCTGTTTCTGAGTTAACTCTACTACTATTACATTTCTTATTTTGAATAAATCTTTTGAGACGATCCACACTGACGCGATCCTTTTCATTGTCTAAAAGCCAGCAAAGTGAAGACTTTTTTATAACTTTTGTTGTATTCTCTAAGCGTATTCTGACTAGATCACCTTTCTCAATAAAAATATCGTCACTATCAAAACTTCTAAGGTGTATGTCTCTGTCAAATTTCTTAGATTCGTACGAAATTGTGCAAAGATCATTCAGTAAATCTTCATCTTGGTTAACTGGATCATTTTCCAAACTTTGAATTCAGTTACGTTTCATGGCTATTTGAGAATTGTTGTAATTTTCAATGCGATCGCACTGTTTTTCACTAAACATTTCATCTTCAACTTCGTCATTGCTAGAGAGCGGATTTTATGAAATTTGCATATTCATTATTTTTTGCATATAAGTCTTGATATTTAATATGTGAACGAATCATGCTAATTAAAAATGAATACAGCTATAAAAAAATTGCATATTTGCATATATTTGCCTTCTGCTGCATATTTCACGTAACGAGTGCATATTTTGCATTTTTATCAATTTTTGTGCTAATTTGAAAAAAAAAATAATTGTCATTCTATCGGCATTTAATGTAGTCCCAATTTGAAATGGATTTTATGACAAGATACTAAACGTTATCACCTTGTTATTACCCCACGATGGACAATATGAGTTAAATAACAAAGTACGACCTTGCGAAGAAAGCGACGACGTTCTTATTTATGACTTCATTGTCCCCATCGGCAACTTCGACACAATGGGCCTATCATAAAAACCACTTTAAACTGGGAAGACTGTATCTAGAAAGTCGAAATTTCATTAATCGTATAGCAAATATTTTCCTGAGCTTCAAATAACTAGGAAAGGTTTGGGTTTTATGGTAGTTTGGAGAAACCACTGGGTGTTAAACCATCCTTCCAGGGAAATTCGCGTCCTAATTACTTTTGGAAATACGTTCATTCCCAATATTTTTGTTCGTTACTTCAGTGTATTAATGATATGTTTTGTGGTGGTCAAAGCATTTAAAGCGATACAGGTGTGTCAATATGTCGAAGATAACTCAAATTAATTTATGGATTAAACGTTTTCCTGAACTTATTCTTCAAGAAGTATTTTTACATTTGTGGACGTAGTAGGTACGCAGTTTTTCTATTTACAAATACTTTAGAATCACTTTTTGTTAGAATATTTCGAAAAATATTTAAAAATAAATTGTTACCAAAATAGTAATTAAATAGTCGATTACTACTATATTTTGGTTTGTTCTGTTTATATTTATTTTTTAGTATAAGATTATTATCTTTAAAAATGTGATTTATGTATTTTTTGTAATAAAACGTAAGCTCGGTAAACCTGTTTTTGTAATTTGTAAATCAATTTAGTTCGCTTATTAAGCTTTTTTTTTAATTTTTGGAGCATATGCAACTGCATATCTCTGCATATATTAAGAAAAGTACTGCATATTTCCATAAATTTGGTGCATATCATATGATCATATTTCCCAAAATTTTGCTGCATATTTTCCGCTCTCTAGTCATTGCATTCATTGTCTTTACACGGAGGCAAAAATACATAGTTGAAATCTATCTCTTTCATTCCTAAATCTTCAGTGTCACGCAGACAATCCCGTAAAGCTGATTCTACGGTGCTTTGTATATCTTTATCTGAAATGTTTTCTAAGTCATCATTTTTCACAAAATCTCTCTTCATGATTGAACTTTTTCTCCTGATTTCTCTAGGAAAACGAATTTTTATCCAAATCGTTTTTAATGTTGTTTATAGTTTGCAGTCTGTCACTTCGATGCAACATATCTCTTATACTAAAATTAACAATTGTGCTAAAAGTTGAAGTCATTGATCTTAAGGCGTACTCTCACAAGTTTGAGAGCTAAACTTCCAAGGCAAGAACATATCATCAGTAAGATTACTTTTTTGAAAAATTGTAATTATTTTTATTAATGCGTGTCCATTGAGTTCAACGCATGTGTAGCAGTTGGAAGATAAAAAGTTATGTTTTACTGTATACTGTCTTTGGTCCTTAATCCATTTTTTCCATATTCGTAGGAAAAATATGCAATACCAAATGTTATATATATATCCTTTCTACAATAGATAACGTTTTGTCCATTATATAAGATACATTAGTTTGAAATAAGCTGTTGTTCCTGCACTATTGTCAATGTTGTCGGCTATCATTTTTCTTACTTCCGGGCTACACACTTTTTCTGCCGCTGCATAGTTCATTTTGTCTTCTGCTTTCAAATCCGTTATTGTTAGCATATGTTGATCTTTGGTGTAATTTTTTACTAATATTTCAAGGTAAGCAACTGTAGCAACGTAATTCCCTAGAGGTAATATTGAGTCTGATTTTAAACCTAGAATTGAAATTCCATACTTTTGGGCATCTTTCTGCATAATGGCAAATCTTTTTTTGACGTTTTAATAAGTAAATTTATTGTTGGTCCCAAAAAAGGAGAGGCAATACGGAGGAGAATTATCAGATAGGGGTTGTGCCACAATTATGTACGTATAATGAGCTTTTGTTCCAGTCTTGAAGTATTCTTGAATAGTTTGAGCGCAAAAAGCTATGTAATGGTTTGTTTCCGGTAGCCCATTTCTTAAAGGAAGCACAAATCCCACCCCTTTATTAGATCGAGAGTCATATTCTATGCGACCCGTTATTCGAGTAGCATCTTCACTGATCCAAACAAATTTCTTTAAATTTCTTTCTTCTAGGAATAATTTTAATCCTTGGAAGTCCATAACATATTCGTCCAGTTTTGTACTATTTTCAGCAATGTATCTATTTAAAGAAGATATTGTAGGAATGTTGGTAAATTCGATTGCAGCGTTTCATACAATAGACGACCTCATATGTAGTAGAGGTATAGGCAAAACTTTTTTAAAGTGGCGTTATACTTATTCTTATTACTTGATTTTGACGCATTTTTTGATGAAATGTCATTGAACATTTGGAGAAATTCATTTATCTTTGGCCCTTCTGTATCTGGCAGTTTTTCTGTTTCATTTCTACCAAAAGTGTAATATATGCTTTCTGTTAAACTAGACGTTAATTTGTTTTCACAGATAACGTTTTTAACTTGTTCTATCATGGGGAAAAAGTTGGTTAATAGCTTTGATATTGATTGTTAGGAAATGATGTGCGTCTTAGGGTTTTAACATTTGTCAAATTAATTTGATAGAGAGGAAAAACTGTAGTTTTGCACTACCTGAATTTAATGAATTGGTACCTCATATCACAAACTCAATTTTTAAAAACTAATTTGGGGTGAAATTATAAATTTGGTTTGTAGGTATAAAGCAATAATAATGTATCATTTCTCATCGGAACTGCACTTCATTAACTACAACTTTAATATATTTGACAAGCTGAAATATCATGCTGTCAGTTAATGATATTATACTGGAATTTTCTATCATTATCCCCTTAAAAGGTTATTTAATCTCCACTTTTAAGATTAAATTGATATTTTTTTTCTTATGATGAATGCTATGACTTATGTCGTACATGTTACGTTTATTAGTTTTAGAAAATATATAGTTTAACTGAATTTGCTATGATGATTTTGGATTTCCTTTGTTTTCTTGTTGATTTCTCTTTAATTTCTCATTGATTTCCTCTTGATTTCTCGTTGATTTCCTCTTGATTTCCTTTGATTTCCTTTGATTTCCTGTGATTTCCTTTGATTTCCTCTAGCGTGTACAATTGATTTCCTCTGCGGTTTACCCCTCGGTATCAATACAAAGTCACTAGCTTTAAATTACTTGAGGAGACACATTTCGATTATTCCTCAAGATCCTATTCTCTTCAGAGGAACCATTAGAGATAATATCGATCCGGAGAGGCTCTACACGGATAATCAAATCTGGAAATAATTTAGATAAAATTCTGGGTTATTATCATCCCAGTGAGGTGTAAATTTTGTTGAAAAAATGGATAGCCATAGTGGTTTTTACCACATATTCCACTACTGAATTATCATGCCAATTGAATTTCCATTATCATTGTTATTCAGTTTTACACTTTGACGTAGGTGGTCAATAGAAAAATTACTATTTCATTAGATAACATTAAAGCCATTATGTGCAGGTGTCTACAAAAAAATAGAAAAATGTTATCAGAAGACAAACAACGGTGGATCTTAAGATGTGTTTACTTATAAATATTTATAAACGGTTTTTGAAATGACAGTATCAAATTCTCGGAATGAAGAAATAAATAAATTTTAGTCGATGTTTTGTAACCACCAATCAGAATACTTTGTTAACAGATTCGAGTTCATTGTGGTAACTCTATATTTTACCATCTAGTCTAGATCATAATTGTACAGTATGCCCAAGAATTCACGATATTCACTTCTAGTTGAGAGAAAGTACCTATCTGTCTAATAATGTAATAATGTATGTTTGTCTGTAGCCAACAAACAGACAAACAGACAGACAGACAGACCAACAAATAACAGACAGATGGAAATCTAAATAGCTCGATAATATTTTAAATTTTTGTCTTGGACATACGTCATTAGTCTGTTTGTCGATGACAATTAAAACGTATAACAAAAAGATTTTTATTAGCAACAATGTAATATAGATAACGTTCGTATGACACTATATATAGAATTTAACGGTCATACAAATTTACTGACGAAAAAGTAGTGTAAATAAACAGTATCTACGCAACTGTGACGTCAGGAAAAGATGCCTCCCACTCCTCCTGTAACTACGCCACGACTTAAATGTCAGAAATAAAACCGTACATAAGTTTAATATTATAAAAACGGAAAATAAACACAATCACTTTTTCGTGAAACCCGATGTTAATTGATGTTCTAAATTTGAAGTCTACAAACTATCTACAATTGCCAGAACAGTAGTCGACTTTTGTTTGTCGTTTTATATTCATATCACATCATGTTGCTTGTTTGGCCAAAAAATAAATTGTGTTAAACACCTATTATTAAATCTAAATTTTTAAATTTTAAATAAGTGACTAGATATATCATATTAAGAGTGATTCAAGACTCCCACATGTGCATTACAAGTTGGACCGAATGTATGCAAATCTGCTTCATAATTTATTTAATCTCGTAATTGTCGATAACCATTTAATATGCATTACCAACTTCAAAACAGTTTTTCTTAACTATCGAAATTTCCCAATTTATAATAATCACTAATTTTACAAAAATAAATAGCTTAAATTTTACCGATCGTTCAGTAGTACCTTTGGTGCCTCAAAACAACTTATTTTTAATGAATTTCACAACAAACTGAGTCATTGTGCCCTCTAAAAGTTCCTCTACCCTTTACTAATCCAAGACAACTAATCTTCGGAAAACATAAAAATACAGCATTGTCTTTAAGTTTTAATTATTTACCGCTGACATTTCCCCACATTTCACAACTCATTATGTCTCAAATAAAAGTACATGAAAAGTATAAAACAATAGACAGAATAAATATTGATACACGTCTCCAAAGTACGTGACGTGATGCTACTGGCGTATTCTTCGTACAATAAATTTACCGATGATTAAAAGCTTTTATTATAATATATATTTATACTCTCCACCTTTACATTAATGGAAAGTCCACAACAAACCGCCTAAAAGTAGATACACCCAAACTAATCTTTCATTCTGCAACGACCGCACTCATGGTAACACCACTCGGTCACAATGGACCACATCGGAAAACAAACGAAAGAAGTCCATCCAAGACAAAAAGCCAACATATTTTCGATTATCTCCTTCTTGTAAGACTCCTCTTCTTTTCCAAAAACCATATTCTAACTCTATATATTACAGCTTCACGCTAAAGTTATTCAGAAAAGGCACTCAACGAGATCTCGAAGAGGATGATCTTTACGAAGTGTTGCCTAGGTACACTTCCAAAAGACTCGGCGACAAATTTGAAAGAGAATGGGAGAGGCAGAAAAAGAAAAACAACAAAAATTCAATTGTGCGACTGCTGTTGGCCGTTTTTGGAAAAGAAGTTTTTTTGCTTGGACTAACACAACTCACGTCTAAAACTATTATAATGTAAGAAGTTCTTTCGGTGCGTTTGTGTTACTTAAGGTTTATTTTAGTATTTTCCATCCTCACGCTTTGAGCAAAATTATCTCCTATTTCAATCCTGGTCAAACTGATATGACAAAGAACGATTTGTATTTATGGTCTGGTCTTTTGATAGGAGTTACTTTGATAGATGTGGTCTATGCTCATAACTACCATATGGCTATGGGTGCTCTAGGCATCAGAATTCGAACAGCTTTTTGCTCTTTCATCTACAGGAAAGCTTTAAGGTTGAGTCCGTCACGACTTGGGGATATTTCTATTGGAAAGATTGTCACTCTTATTACCAAAGATGTTCACTGCTTAGAACACTTTTCCTACTTAGTAAACGACCTGTGGATTGCTGGGCTCAAAGCAGGTGTTGCTGGTTACGTCATCTACAGAAAAATAAATGTGGCGGCTTTTGCAGGAGTGGGTTTTTTTATCATCATACTACCGATACAATGTGAGTTATTGTCATTCTTTGCTTTTTTATACAACAATTTTTTGTATTGTAGTTTATATGGGTACATGGGCAGCTAAACTACGTCTAAAAATGTGCAAAAAGGTAGATGAGCGTCTCCAAAGAACCCAAGAAACTCTCTCTGCAATCAAAATCGTAAAAATGTACACTTGGGAAAAGTACTATAACGACAAAGTCCTAGATGCCAGAGAGTAAGTACTAGCACGAACTTTGTCAAAAATTCTTCTTCTATCTTCTTAGAAAAGAAATCAAAAGCATGCAACTTATCTTCTACCTCAAGATGATCATCCTCCAAATCGGTGTCCTCAATGGCAAAATTGCTTTTTATCTTCTTATCATGACTTACAAGTGGCTTGGAAATCACGTAACAGCCGAAATCGTCTACTACATCGACTATTCGTTCCACATTCTCTCACACACTCTCGGAATTAGATTCCCTTCAGCCATCTCTCAAGTGGCAGAAGTCACCGCTTCCGTCAAACGTCTCGGCAACGTTCTAAAAGCACTAGAGGTGCAAGAAACCCCTGAAGAAACCGACCTAGTCATCAAACCAAAAGTCGCGCTGAACAACGTAGACGTTACTTTCAAAGAGAAACACGTTCTGCACTCCATCAACCTCAACGTCGATCTGGGTGTTACACTGATAACCGGACAAGTCGGAAGTGGCAAAAGTTTCCTCCTTAAAACAATCCTCAAAGAATTTGAACCTTCGAATGGTACAGTTTTAACCCAAGGCAGAATTTCTTACGCGTCACAGGAACCCTGGCTTTTCCCATCTTCCATAAAACAGAATATTTTGTTCGGGGAGAAGTACGACGAAACCCGATACCAAGAGGTGTTGAAAGTTTGCGCTTTGTTGTACGATTTTGAGTTGTTGGCTGAAGGTGATGCGACTATCGTCGAAGACAGAGGGAACAACTTGAGCAAAGGGCAACAAGCTAGAGTTAATTTAGCTCGTGCTGTGTACAAAGAGAGTGAGATTTATCTCTTGGATGATTGTCTGTCAGCTCTTGATAGTCAAGTCAGCGATTTTATCTTCAAAGAGTGTATCATGAAGTTTCTACAAAACAAACTGGTGATTTTTGTAAGCCACAACGTAAGTCATGTTAAAGAAGTGGATAATGTGGTGATCATGCGACATGGAGCAGTTACGTCGCATGTCAAGTCAGCTGACATTTCTGAGAAGGACATTCTACAAGAAGTAGATGCAGAAGAAATGGCGATAGAAAGTGGCGACGACTTGGAGGTGGAAGCTGAAGCAGACGAGGAGACGAAACTCATCACTGAAACCACAACCGAGAGAAAAGTCTACCAAGAAGTCAAAAAGAAAGGCAAAGTTGATTTTGATGTGTACAAGAAATATTTACAGTTCGGTGGTGGACTTTTCTCTTTATTTTTAGTGGTTTCCTTGTATACTACAGCGCAATTCTTCCAGAGCTACGGCGATAAGTTGGTCAGTCAATGGTAAGATTTTGTCTAATCGACAACACAAAGTAGGTATATCGTATTTTTGTAGGGTAATCCTTGAACAAAAAATCTCCAATTTAACTCTACATAACACCACGAATACTACAATACTGCAAAAAAAGGAAGAATCCGAAAACAAACGCGACTATATTCTACAATTATTTACAGCGATGATAGTTCTAAACACGGTTTTCGGTGTTTTTAAAGCTATAGGTTTCTACTCGGTTATTAGACGAGCTTCCATTAATCTCCACAAACACATGATCACCCACATTGTAAACGCTACTATGCACTTCTTTGATACTAACTTCATCGGAAACATCTTGAACAGGTTTTCAAAAGATTTGACCACGGTTGACGAGTTTCTTCCTTTCATTTATCACCAAGTGTTCAGAGTAAGTCACTACAAAAAATTTTAGGCAAAGTAAAGACTTGCAAATTGTAGACCGCACTTTCTGTCGGTGGAGTCATGATTGTAATCGCTACAGTCAATGTCTATTTCCTCGTCCCAACAACTTTCTTCCTAGGACTACTAATGTTCATACGAATGTACTACCTGAAGACGGCCCGAAGCTTGAAACGACTAGACGCCACAAGTAAGTCCCAAACTACTTCAAGACTAACCCAATATAAAACAAATTCCAGCTAGAAGTCCCGTTGTTGGTCACCTGAACGCAACTCTTGAAGGTCTGACGACCATACGAGCGTTCAAAGCTGAAGACATTCTTCGTGAGGAGTACGACCGTCACCAAGACTTGTATACTTCAGCTACTTACATCTTCATCAGTTCGATGAGAGCTTTTGCTTTCTTGTTGGACTTCTTGTGTACTCTTTTCATAGCAACAATAATTGCAAGATTTGTTTTCTCCAATGATGGTAAGTACGGATGACACTGTTTCAATTCCTGAGTTTTTCTTTTAGTGTTTTTGGCTGGTAGCGTTGGTTTGGCTATATCACAAGCCTTAAGAATGACAGGAACTCTCCAGTGGGGAGTCCGAATTTGGGCAGAAATGGAGAACTGCATGACTTCCGTTGAACGTGTCTTGGAATACACGGAAGTGCGACAGGAGAGTACTCAAGGGCAAGATTTGGACAACTGGCCCAAAGAAGGTGAAGTGAAGTACCAGAATGTGTATTTGTCGTATAACGAGTCAGACGAGTACGTTTTGAAAAATATCAGCTTTACTGCCCATCCACAAGAAAAAATTGGCATTGTTGGTAGAACAGGTGCTGGAAAGTCGTCCATCATTTCTACTCTGTTTCGACTCTATGAAGTCGACGGGAGAATCGCCATTGATGGCGTTGATACTAAACTAGTCTCTTTAGATTGTTTACGTAAGCACATCTCGATTATCCCTCAAGATCCGGTTCTCTTCACTGGAACTATCAGAGACAACATAGATCCTGAGAGACAATATACAGATGACGTGATCTGGAGCGCGATTGACTCTGCTTATTTGAAGAAGTTAATACCGAGCTTGGAGTACGAAATTACTGAAAGCGGCTCTAGTTTCAGTGTAGGACAAAGACAACTGATTTGTCTCGCTAGGGCTATTGTTCGGAACAACAAGATCATAGTTCTAGATGAGGCTACAGCTAATATGGATCCGGAAACTGATGAACTGATCCATCAGACGATTCATAAGTGTTTCAAGGCTTGTACTGTATTTACTATAGCGCATAAGTTACATTCTATCATCAATTGTGATAAAATCATTGTTATGGATAAAGGAGAGATTATTGAGTGTGATGATCCTAACAGTTTGCTGCAAAATAAAGATGGGCACTTTTACAAGATGGCGAAGAAGGCGGGGATTACGACGCAAAATGCAGCTTAAAAGACAAAATGAGAAATTCTACTCTATTATGAAGATATTACGAAAAATTTAAGACATGTAAAACTTGGTCAATAAAATTGAATTATTATTATCAAATAAAAAATATTTGCTTTAAATACTTCCTAGTCTCATTTACTTCACAGAAAATTATATATTTTAAACTTTGCTTTCGACATATTAAAAAAAATCAAAAACTCCAAAAATTTCAACAAATAAGTATTCCACCTGTTTTGTTTATTACATATTTTATGAATTGGCATAATGTTGTACACGTCTTATTGTCGAACAGTCAATGCAGTACTTAATATTTATCTAAGTCAGGTAGGCACCGTTTAGATAAAGTAGGTCGTAAAACTCACAATCTACGTGGAAAAATAAAAAAAGCAGTGGCAATCTTTATTAACTTGATTACCACGCTACCACGAAAAATAAACTTTTGCGTGAAATATTTAAGTGTAATAAAATCCCCAAAAGCTCCCTTTTTTATTTTAGTCGTGTATAAGGAATTCACGTTCGGTAGATGTAACTAGATTTGGTAACTTTTTTTTTTAAGCTGTGTAACTGCGGACATAATTGTTCTAGTGTATAATGTATTACTGGAATGTCAGAAAGTAGGTATCAAAAATGTGACATGTAAGTACGTAAAGGTCAAATATCGAAAATGTGATGGTTTTGTGGTAATCTGGTGAATCTATTTTTGAACTAAGGAGAAAATCACATCCCTCTGAAAGCCCAAAGAGCAACCCGCATGTAAAATTTTGAATCTTTTCCCTTCACTAGTTTTTTTAGGAGGACAAGCTTTGATGTCATCATCATGGATCCACAATTTCATCATGGATCCGTTCTGGTATACCATGTCTCATCCAAGAAAATGAAAAGTAAATCTTTACCACAATCACGCAATTGGAGATAGGTACCGCCTTAGAAATTTGATTCTGGCAGCTATAACGTGTTTAAAATGTGAAAAACTTCGCCTTCGGAAACCTAAATTTATACGTGTATTACGTACAATTATTTTCAAAGCCGAGTGTTTTACCTCTTACAAAACAATAACGATTATATAAAACTTACAAACCAATTGTAGAACGGAACCAACAAAGCATGTAGGTATATAAATCTGCGCAGTCGTCTTCCTGATTCTGATTATAATATTAACAGCACAAGCGCCGCTGTATCTGTATTATTTTAAAATTCGAAAAACACTCGACAACACTAGCGAACTTTACGGAGAATATTTCTGCCACCAGTTTAACTGTTTCCGTTTTACCCAATTTTTTGAAAACCACGAAAAATTTCTTGTTTCTTTTCCTTTAAAATGAGCTTTCTCGTGATTACTTTTATGGAAATTGTTTCCATGCTGTATTTAAGGATTTTCTTGAAACGAAGCGTGTTGAAATTAGAAAAACTTCGTTTTTTTTCCACACAATTCAGATTTGACATTTGAATTAGAAAATTAGACAGTTGATGCCAATCTTAAATTTCTAGTGATCTTAAGATTGCAACTTAACCACAGAAAAGTTTCTGTCAGTTACTTCTACCGAACGTGAATGCTTATTATAAATATAATCACATAACCACGATATATTTTAATACTTAATATTATTTAAGGAACCAAAGCTATTTGTTGTTTCGTTGTTTTTTATTCTTCAAGATGTATACAATATCTGCCTCGTCACCTATAAAAATTGCCAAGCGACGTCTTTTCAACGTCGTTAATTTTAAAGGGATTTACAACTTGAACAAAAGGAAAATAAATAAACATAAGATAATGTGTGAATAAAAAAGACATATTTGCACAGCAAATTCCGATTTCTGAGGCAAATTGTAATCAGTGCAGACATGTGACAATGTTCCAGTTACCTGGTTCTGATAACCTAGTAGAACTTACTGTACCAGAAAAAAGTTAAAAATTAAGTTTTTCAAGATATAGAAGTCAACCCTTGTCTTGTTAATGTCACTGTTTTTTACTCTTATTTCAGAATTTTCTTCTTTCGTTTTAAAATTGCTCCAGCTACGTTGTTCAAAAACTGGTTTTAAATCGCCGTTTTATAAGCAAAATAATGTGCTGGTAAAATTTCGGATAACTGTAATTAGATTACATTTTTTTTGTTTAATAAAATGAGTGATCAGAAAGAAAACCGGGTGGGTGGGCGTTACCACTTTGAATTTTTTATGCGCAAATTCGACCACTTGACAAAATAAAATTCAATCTTTATGTGATCAAAAAAAACCAATGAAATCCAAAAGCAGATGTGGGTGGGGTTAGTTTTAGCTTTTTCTCTACATTCCAGTGTATCAATGTAAATGCCACTTTTTGCCCAATAAAATGAGTGATTAACACGAAAACGGGTGGGTGGGTGGGGCTATTTCCATTTTTATAAGGATAGATTCGGCCACTCGACAAACTTTGAAGTTTTTTTAATTTGGTTGGACTACCAGCCATAGAATTCAATTTTCATCTCTCAATAAGTAAAATAAGCCAATGAAATGCAGACGCAGGTGGGTGGGATTAATTTTACCTTTTGGTCTATTTTACTACTGTTTGCCAACATAAAATTCACCTTTCCTTTCAGAGCCAATAAAATGAGTGACTAATTCCATTGGTTCTTAATTAAAGACCAATCTTATCTCGCCAAACATGACATTCTAGAACAGGTTACCCTGAAATTTTTCTTTTTGATTTGTGCATTTTATAGAATTTACAGAAAATTTTAATATTTTAAGAACTTGAAAAACATAATTAAAGTGATTAAAATTTTGCCGAAAACAGCAGAAATAAATACCTAATAAAAGTTATAAATTCAGAATACTTAAAGTTAGGATCAACACAATAAAGTAAAAATTTTTGGAAAAATGGTTTTGAATAAAAAAAAATAAAAATAAAAATTGCTTATCAAGCAATTGAAGACTTGGAGATCCAAAAAAAGGTCATAAGGAAATTTTGAAAAAATTGCCTAAAATTCTGCAAAAAATTCAGGAATGTAGTAGATCTCGACTTGCTGATTTGAAAAATATAGGTGGCCTTTTCACGGTTGAGCAACATTTTAGAAATATTCTGTTTGAAATTCAGATTTTTAAAAAATCTTAAAAATTGCCATAAATTAATTCGCGACTCTGGAGAGCTGGCAGACGTTATGAGCGAAAAAGTGTCAAAATTTTCATAAAAAAGGAGTATTGAAAAATCGAGATTTTGAAAAAGTTGTCTAATAATAATCAACGAAAAATTCTAAAATGTACATCTCGACATGCTGATTCGTAAAAGTTGTCTAATAATAATCAACGAAAAAGTCTAAAATCTATATCTCGACATGCTGATTCGTAAAATATAACGTGCTTACCAATCTGGAACAAGATTTTAGAAATAATAATAATAAAAATTTTATTTCCAGAGAGGCAAATACATTTATATGGAAATCGTCAGTGTAAATTTCATTTCTTTTTTATTTTAAAATATGCCATATTTCAATTAGCGGTTTCGGAAAATGTTAGGAGTTATCGAAGAAATGAAGCCGAAATTAATTTCTCGAGGTCGAAATCTACAAGAAAATGTCTTCAAGTGATATTCGAAAATGAGCGTAAAAGGGTCAAAATTTTCATAAAAGAGGGGTACTGAAAAATCAAGATTTTGAAAAAGTTGTCTAATAATCCACGAAAAATTCTAAAATGTACATCTCGACATGCTGATTCGTAAAATATAACGTGCTTACGAATCTGGAACAAGATTTTTGAAATATTCGGTATAAATTTCATTATTTTTTTTTTTAATTTTAAATATGCCATATTTCAATTGGTGCTTTCGGAAAATGTTATGAGTTATCGAAGAAATGAGGCCGAAATTAATTGCTCGAAGTCGAAATCTATAAGAAAATGTCTTCAGGTGATATTCGAAAATGAGCAAAAAGTGTCCAAATTTTCATTAAAAAATTGAGCTTTTGAAAAAGTTGCCTAAAAATCCGGGAAAAATTCTAAAATGTATATCTCGACATACTATTTCTTAAAATATAACGTATTTACGAGTCCGGAACGAGATTTTGGAAATACTCGGTGTGAATTTCATTTTTTTTTAATGTGCTATATTTCAATTGGCGGTTTCGGAAAATGTTAGTAGTTTTCGAAAAAATTAAGCGGAAATTACTTTCTGGAGGTCAAAATCTACAACAAAATATCTTTAGGTGATATTCGAAAACTATCGAAAAAGGGTCAAAATTTTCATGAAGGAGTATTGAAAAATTGAGCATTCGAAAAACATGCCTAAAAATCCACGAAAAAATCTAAAATGTAGATCTCGATATGCTGATTCGTGAAATATAACGTGTTTGCTAATCTGGAACAAGATTTCAAAAATATTCAATGTGAATTTCAATTTTTTTTTATCTGAAAATGTGCCATATTTCAATTGGCAGTTCCGGAAAATCTTAGGAGTTATCGAAGAAAAGAAGCCGAAATTAATTTCTCGAGGTCAAATGCTACAAGAAAATGTCTTCAAGTGATATTCGAAAATGACCAAAAAATGGTCAAAATTTTCATTAAAAAAAAGAGCTTTTGAAAAAGTTGCCTAAAAACCCGGGAAAAATTCTAAAATGTAGATCTCGACATACTAATTCTTAAAATATAACGTGTTTACGAGTCCGGACCAAGATTTTGGAAATATTCGGTGTGAATTTCATTTTTTTTTAATCTGCCATATTTCAATTGGCGGTTCGGGAAAATGTTACTATTTATCGAAAAAATGAAGCCGAAATTAATTTCTCGAGGTGAAAATCTACAAGAAAATGTCTTCAAGTGATTTTCGAAAATGACCAAAAAAATGGTAAAAATTTTCATTAAAAAATTGAGGTTTTGAAAAAGTTGCCTAAAAATCCGGGAAAAATTCTAAAATGTAGATCTCGACATACCGATTCTGAAAATATAACGTGTTTATGAGTCCAGAACAAGATTTTGGAAATATTCGGTGTGAATTTCATTTTTTTTTTTTAACGTGCCATATTTCAATTGGCGATTCCGGAAAATGTTACTAGTTATCGAAAAAATTAAGCCGTAATTAATTTGTCGATGTAAAAATCTACAACAAAATATCTTTAGGTAATATTCGGAAATTATCGAAAAAGGGTCAAAATTTTCATCAAGGTATTTCAAAGTATTGAAAAATTCAGCTTTCGAAAAAGTTGCCTAAAAATCCACGAAAATATCTAAAATGTAGATCTCAATATGCTAATTCGTGAAATATAACGTGTTTACGAGTCCGGAACAAGATTTTGAAAATATTCGGTGTGAATTTCATTTTTTTTTTAATGCGCCATATTTCAATTGGCGGTTCCGGAAAATTTTACTAGTTCTCGAAGAAAAGAAGCCGAAATTAATTTCTCGAGGTCAAAATCTACAAGAAAATGTTTTCAAATGATATTCGAAAATGACCAAAAAATGATCAAAATTTACATTAAAAAATTGAGCTTTTGAAAAAGTTGCCTCAAAATCCGGGAAAAATTCTAAAATGTAGATCTCGACATACTGAGTCTTAAAATATAACGTGTTTAGGAATCCGGAACAAGATTTTAGAAATATTCGGTGTGAATTGGCGGTTCCGGAAAATCTTAGGAATTATCAAAGAAATGAGGCCGAAATCAACTTCTAAAACTCGCAATCTAAAAGAAAATGCAGAATATTAAAGAATTCCGCTTTAGAAAAAAAAATTAATAAGTGGGCACTTTATAGTTTAGTGAATTTTTACGAGAAGTGGCACAATTAATACACACTAATGCACCAAATATTAACTAACACTTTTTAAACACCTTATCCTTTTATTTAAGTAAATTAACTACAAAAATACTTGTTTCTACCTGAAAATGGATCATTAAAATTTTTTCATTTCATGACTTGTTCTCGATTTTCTTTTCACAAAGTCTGTATTAAAACAGGACAAGGATATTAAACATGACGAAACCTACATTACATTACAGAGCGAAAACGGATCTACAGAGCACGTAAATTATTCCTAATTTCCATCCAACTACTAAAATTCTACTTCACTATCTTCCAGGAAATTACTTGATTAGTCGAGTTAAAAAGTCCAACGGTTTCTTAACGAACGTATACTTGACGAAAACGATAAAATTCTGTCGTGTTATTTTATAGTTTTAACAGTTTTAATCGCTTTGTTAATTGTCTTGAAGGAGTTTCCAAAAATTATAAATATACAAAAAGTAAGAAAATTGCATGATGGTTTTCCCTAATACTTGACTATTTTCCACAAGTTCAATGCCAACCGCGTGCATTGTTCATTTTATTGCCTTATTACAGTAGCGTTTAAAAATTCCCAAAGGATAAAAATTGGGACGACGACTTAACACCTCATATTGTCAAAGCGAATAAATAGCCACCTGGAGTCTCATTCTTATTGAATTTAGGCTTAACAGCCTGACTTTCGTAATTGTGCACACAATGTTATCATCTCAGCAACTTAATTGAAGGTCCTCAATAATCACAAAAGGGTTTTACCGTCCAAAATACGCTTAATTGCCGTCTTTAGCATAAACAAACAAACAACCAAACACTACACCAGGACAACGACCTGTTTACCCACAGAAGCAAAATACTCGAAAATCAAACCAGATAACAATACGGAGTCATAGAAAAATCGTAGTGTTTGACTTGTTAATACATATTTACTTTACGTGATACAATATCACAAGACTTCTTATAAAACTCCGAAACAGACACGAATGTATTTCTTAATGATGATAACGATAGGTCGGTGAGTGCGTTAAAGATGGACCACTTGGAAAAACCGAAGCGGAAAGCCCACCCGAGAGATAGAAACAGTTTCGTTTCAAATATCTTCTTTTTGTACGAAATCGACTGGCAATTTTCGTGTTTTTAATTTGTTCGGTTTCAGGTACGCCGTCAGATTGTTCCAGAAAGGGTTCAAAAGAGACTTGGGGGAAGATGATTTGTACGAAGTGTTGAAGAGCTACAGGTCGAAGAAACTAGGCGACCAGTTGGAACTAGAATGGGAAAAACAGAAGAAAAAAGGGAAAAATCTGTCGGTAGTACGATTGATGTTGAACTGCTATGGTGTTTACTATCTTTACTTGGGTTTCGTGCAACTGTTCATGAACGTCACAGAAATGTAAGTGGAATGGTCAGAACCAAAATTACATTTTTTTAGAGTCATACGACCATATGCTTTAGGAAAACTAGTCGCCTACTTTGCTCCCGGCCAAACCGATATTTCTAAACAAGACGCCTACTTATATGCAGCGATAGTACTGGGGTACAATTTCTGCCAATGTGTGTACAAACACAACTACTACCTCATGCTAGCCTCGTTTGGGGTGAAAGTTCGGGCCGCTTTTTGCTCTTTCATGTACCGAAAAGCCCTAAAGCTAAGTCCAGCGCATCTTGGTGATATCTCCATAGGCAAAATCGTCACTCTGATGACCAAAGATGTAGACACGTTCGAGTTTTTCATAGATTTCGGGAACGATTTGTGGATTGGTTTTGTCAAGACTTTGGTGGTTTGTATAACTCTATACAGACGAATAGGAGTGTCTGCACTCGTGGGTGTTGGTTTCTTCTTTTTGATAATGCCCATACAAAGTAAGTTTATTCTAGATTATTAATTGATAACTAACACACTTCATGTAGTTTACCTTGGAACCAAAGTCACACAGATGAAACTATCAATGTGCAAGACAACAGACGAGAGGTTACAAAGCACCCAAGAAACTCTATCTGCCATCAGAATCATCAAAATGTACACTTGGGAGAAGATTTTTGATAGAAAAATCTCAGAAGCGCGAAAGTAAGAACGACAATATCAAACTATCAATTCTAGTAACCATTCTTCAGGAAAGAAGTCCACATGACTTTCAAAATGTCAGCGCTGCGCTTTTTTATTCTAGCCATAGGTAGCTTGAACTCTCACGTCGCTTTCTACCTCATGGTGATGAGCTACATTTGGTTTGGAAATCTAGTCACGGCCGAAATCATCTATTTCATCTTAACGACATTCCAAAGCTTAACTTTTGGTCTAAGTATCCTCTTCCCGATCGGTGTCTACCAGACCGCCGAACTCAGATCAGCAATCACCCGAATCGGGCAAATTTTAAAAGCGTCAGAACTACAACACGAACTACCCTCTAGCGAAATCGTAACTTCGCCTAGAATTAACCTGAAAAACGTGACCGTCTCGATTCATAGTAACAAGATCCTTAAAGACATCACTATTAACATAGAAAAGGGTCTAACCCTAATCACCGGACCCGTCGGTAGCGGCAAATCCTTCCTTTTGAAAACTATTCTAAGAGATTATCAAACGGAAGAAGGCCATGTGACGGTTCAAGGTACCATTTCCTACGCATCCCAAGAACCTTGGTTGTTCCCGTCGTCCATTCGCCAAAACATTCTATTCGGGGAAAAATACAACGAGAAACGATACAACGAGGTACTAAAAGTGTGTGCTTTGATTTACGACTTCGAGCTGCTGGAAAATGGTGATAGTACCATAGTGGAGGATCGAGGGATCAACCTGAGCAAAGGACAACAAGCGAGGATCAATTTAGCCCGAGCTATATACAAAGAAAGTGATGTTTATCTTCTAGACGATTCACTGGCGGCGTTAGACGCTCATGTCAGTGCCTTCATCTTCAAAGAGTGTGTTTTGCAGTACTTGAAAGATAAACTGGTGGTTTTGGTCAGTCATAACGTGAAATACGTGAAGGATGCAGACACTACGGTTGTTCTACAAAACGGAACAATCAAAAAGATTGGGAAATTGTCAGAACTAGACGAATACGAAATAGTCCAAAGTGAAGAGAAAAACGAAAAAGATGGGTCTGATAAAACTGACGACGACGACGACGATACGAATGAAGAAAGTAAACTACTAACAGAAACCTTCACCCAGAAAAAAGTGTACCATGAAGAAAAACAAGCAGGGGAGGTTACAGCAGAAGTCTATAAACAATATTTCAAATTCGGGGGTGGGTTTTTCAAATTAATTCTAGTTTTCTCTCTTTTCGTAGCAGCCCAACTATTTATAAGCTACACGGATAAGTTAGTCAGTAATTGGTAAACAATTAATTAAGTGATTTTAACTTACTTAAACGACTATTTTAGGGTTAACTTAGAAGAACGAATCGCCAATCAGTCGCTCGCCAATTCCACTAACTCAACCATCGACGATGACCTAAACCAAGAACGACGATACATCTTCTACATGTACAGTTTTATGACGGTAGCAACCACGGTGACAACGTTTGGACGCGCAGTTGCTCTTCTATTTTTTGCAAGAACTGCATCTCTGTACTTGCACAAGCACATGATAACGACAATAGTCAACGCGTCGATGCAGTTCTTCGACACTAATTTCATAGGCAACATTTTGAATCGGTTCTCCAAAGATTTAATCACCATTGACGAATATATCCCGTTCGCAATCTATCACGTCTTCAGAGTAAGTAAAATTGGAACAGAAGGGGAAAATTTTCGTAGATTTTTCTCATTCTTGTAGGGATCATCACGTTGATAGCGACAGTCAATCCGTTGTTCCTAATCCCGACTGTCATATTTTTGTTGATACTTCTGGTTTTGCGAAGATTTTGTCTGAGGACTTCTAGGAATTTGAAAAGACTGGAAGCTTTAAGTAAGGGTGGTGTTTGTGAAGAGTGTGATTTATAGACGTGGTTTGCAGCTAGAAGTCCGGTCGTGGGGTACTTGAATGCTTCTTTGGAAGGAGTGACGACAATTCGGGCTTTCAAAACCGAGAAAATACTGAGGGACGAATTTGACAGGCACCAGGACCTTTACTCTTCTGCTTACTATATTCTTGTAAGCAGCATGCGAGCTTTTGCCTTCACCATGGACACACTGTGTGGCTTCTACATCTCATTCATAGTATTACGATTCCTTATCATTGATAATGATATTCTGGCAGGTCATGTTGGTCTCGCGATTTCACAGGCTTTCTCTCTAACCGGGACTCTCCAATGGGGGATTAGACAGTGGGCCGAAATCGAAAACCGAATGACCTCAGTCGAGCGCGTTCTCGAATACACAGAAATCAAACAAGAGAACAAACAAGGCTTGGAATTAGAAAGTTGGCCCAAACAAGGCGAAGTCAAATACGACAACGTCTACTTAACCTACACCAACTCGAACGAATACGTCCTCAAAAATATCAACTTCACGGCCAACCCTAGGGAAAAAATCGGGATAGTGGGAAGAACCGGAGCCGGCAAATCTTCCATAATCTCAACTCTGTTCCGACTGTACGACGTCGAAGGCAAAATCAGTATCGACGGCACCGAAACCAAAACCCTCTCTCTGGACTATCTCAGAGCAAACATTTCCATAATCCCGCAAGACCCAGTTCTATTTACCGGAAGCATTAGAGACAATATTGACCCTACGAGACGGTACACAGATGACGAAATATGGAAGGCCATTCATTGTTCGCACTTAAAAAATCTAGTGCCGAGTCTAGATTTTGAAATAGTGGAAGCGGGTTCTAACTTTAGTATCGGTCAAAGGCAGCTTATCTGTTTGGCTAGAGCGACTGTTCAAAACAACAAGATCATCGTTCTGGACGAGGCTACAGCTAACATGGATCCCGAAACGGACGAACTGATCCATCAAACCATTAGGGAGAACTTCCGGGATTGTACGGTGTTCACGGTGGCTCATAAACTGAATTCTATTTTGCATAGCGATAGGGTGATGGTTCTGGATAAAGGGGAGATAATTGAGTTCGATAAGCCGGGAACGTTGCTGCAGAACAAAGATGGTGTGTTTTACAAGATGGTGGCGAAAGCTGGATTAGTATGAAAGGAACTATTACAAATGCGTTTCCAAAAATACAGTTAAATAAATGTTGAAAACTGTTGTTATTTTTCTTCATATTCGTACTCAACTACATTCTATAAAAGAAAACACTCCTATTTAAAAGTCAAATTTTTAAGTACCTTGAACTGTTAAATTAACATAGCTATCTACTTGTATCCACTTTAACTGTAATAAAACGGTACTACTATGCACTAAGTGGTCTAACCTGTTGGAACAAACCATGAAGGTAACTCTTGCCCTGGTCATTTTTTCCGTCTTGATCGGACCCACTTACCTACAGTTGGACTTTTTAAGTAAAACACTGCGTACTTATCAATTTCTGATTTTCAATTTTGCTAAATTGAGACTCCTGGGTGTTATCAATCCTAGTATAAACGGAACGACTTGTGCCGAAGACTTGAAACTATTTATGGATGCCGCGTTTAAAGCAGAGTGGTGGGCGGTAAAAAGTAAGTGTATTATTTTTTTAACAACTTTTATAATGTGTATTTAGTGTTGGACGCCAGCGGAAAATTCAATCCAGGAGTACTTCAAGGAAATATGAAATTCTTGGGAAGTTACGACCAATGTCTTGGGCTTCAAAAGGACCAAGCAGGGGTTGGTTTAGACACTCAGTACTGCACCATGCTGTTGAAACCCGACAAAAATTTGGAAGATTTTTTGTACCGCAATGTGATCAAAGCAAAAGCAAATAAAAGACTCATGAGTACCGATCTTTTCAAAGAGTACGCCGTCATAGAGTTCGGGCTTTGCATACCAAAATCGTGTACTATGGACGATTTAACCAATCTGTGGAAGCGTTTCCAGGTTCTGTACCAGGCGCCAGGGTACTCCGAATTTTCAGACAAATTGTGCTACTCTAAAAACAAAAAGGTGGTTCCAAGCAAATTCGACATTTACGTTTTGTAAGTACCACATCTTCTAATAGTACCACACTTATCCATACAGTTGGTTTTTTGGTGTCACCTTGTTCGTAGAATTAGCTTGTACGGTCTACGATTTATACACACGTAGTCAACCACGAAGACTCGACATTTTGGTCAACTTTTCGTTGTACACCAACGCCAAGAGACTCATGTCGAGGAATTATGAAAACGAAACTCTGACTTGTTTGTATGGGCTTAGATCATTCTGTATTATATGGGTGATTCTCGGTCATATAATGCTTAATAAGAGTCTTACGTCAACGAATGTGTTGCAAATGACCACAGAAGTGAGGAATACTAAAATTTGAGTCACTAAATACACGAAATGATTTTGTTTTAGTGGATGGGTCGTCTAGAAAATGCGTTTTTCCTCGGTAGTGTCTATGCCGTAGACACATTTCTCACGATTAGTGGCCTTCTGGTTGTCTACGTCTACCTCGACTATTCCGACAAATACAAACTCAATTTTTCACTGGTTTATGGTCATCGGATTTTGAGATTGACACCCGCTTTACTAGCCACAGTTTTGCTGGAAATGAGCGTCGTTAAGTACTTTATCCAAGGTCCATTGGCTTTTCCATACCTGACCACCATGGCAACAAACTGTGAAAAAAGGGGTGTGGATACTTTGTTCTTTGTCAGCAACGCTGTAGAACGTGACGAACGAGTACGTCGCAACTTGAATCATCTCGTTTTTGACCTTTTTTTCCAGTGTTTGCGTCAATCTTGGTATGTATCTGTGGACAGCCAGTTGTACCTTCTGACTCCATTTATGGTATTCTGCTTCAAAAGACAACCGGGAAAAACCTTCTTCGGAGTCGTCGTTGTTTGCCTGTGCTCCTTCGTCTACACTTGGATGACTGTCATTAAAAACAACATAGGTTCTTTGTTGTTCATTGAGTAAGTACCTACCAATCAGAAATCGAAACTTAACACAGTTTTGTAGCAATAATTCAGAAATGGTGTACTTTTCACCTCTGTGTCGTATCCCAGTTTGGTTAATCGGAACGTGTTTAGGTTATGTTCTATACAGACACAACCACCAAAAGATATCCATTCCTAAGAGAGTCAATTATGTGTTGTGGATTCTGTCCATGACTGTCATAATAATTCTTACGATGTATCAGACAGTTCTAGTGAGAGAAGCACACAACGTTTATCGTTCTGCCTTTTCTAACACATTCTGTAAACCTTTGTGGGCCCTAGCTATAGGTTTCATCATTCTTAGTTGTTGCACAGGACATTCTGGTAAGTTTTTTACAAAAAAATGTGTTAACTATTGTTTTAAATTTCAGACCCTGTAAACACCTTTCTGTCTCATCCTGTATTTATGCTCATCGGCAAACTGTCATACAGTATTTATTTGATTCATTTAACAGTTATTCATGTCATTGTCGCCAACAAACAACAAACCGATTATTTCAGCACCTTCGGACTCGTAAGATTTTTATTTACTGATATAGTTATCGTTTTTGATATATTTTTTGTAGTTGTTTGATTTTTGGGGCTACTTCGTTTATATTCTGATCAGTGCCACTGCACTGTGTCTAGTCTTTGAGACTCCAACTGTATCTATTCTGAGGTACCTTGAAACGTATGTGGCAAACATGAAAAAGAAAAAGACGTGAAGAAGTTAATAAAACGATATAAAATTTAGAACTTTTATTTTTTATTTAGTTTTACCTTCTACAACTTGTCTTCAGTCAAGTTTTATCTGACTTTTCAACTCTACAAGGAAATCTAAAGATTTAAGCGCCTTAGATTTGTATATAGTTAAAAACTAGAGTAAAATATTGCACTGCTCTGGGACCTAATCTTTTTGTAAACTTTTGCAGTGACACATTATATGTTTACTATATCAATATTAACCTGTCTAAATTTTAAGACAATTGTGAGATAAGAATTTGTATGAGGAATTAATGACAATACAAATCCGAAGATTAAGATATTCAGAAAATCATGATAAAAGTTTTTACTCTGTTGTGCAATTTATTTGACGTTTTAATATTTTTTAACAAATAGTTTAACATAGTTGGAAAACGTTTTTTCCTGAGTGCAGCAACATATCTTATGGAATTAGAAAACATACGTAACATATGGTATTAAATTAAGCTCCTCATCGAAAACAACAAATACAATTGATAATTATTTGATAAGTTGTTGAAATTTTAGTTTACTTAATTTTATTATAAGAAAAATTGAGGTTAAGTTGTACCATTCCGAGTTGTCAGCTGTCATCGATTAATTTTTGATTTATTGTGGACAACTACACCATGTTTACAAAAAATCAAGGCCAGATTGATGACTTTTTCACTTGAGTGTAGCAAGAGAAAGTTTTAGATTTTAATGAAGTTTCTTTGATGTTGTAATGAATAGGTTTGTTTTTTTTTATTCTGTTTATGTTCCTTTTTGCATGAACAGGTTATGGGCCCAGAGTGCGAATAGAATCACGGGTGGTTAATTTGTGTGCACACACGTCCTCATGATTTCATTCAGAAGAACGAAAAAAATGAAATATCGAAAAATTGAACAATCAATAAATTGAAGAAAATCTAAAAATCCAAAAATAAAAAATCGAGATACTGAAAAACTGAAAGAGTGCAAACTCGAAAAATCGAAAAAAAAACAAATACGTAATTCCAAAAATTCACAACTGAAAACGCGAAAAATTGTAAATCGAAATATAGACAAATCCAAAAACTGAAAATTGAAAAATTGTAGAATCAAAAAGTTATAAATCAAAAAATTTAAGAAAAGAAACTGAGAAAACCAAAAATTAGCACTCTTTAAACTGAAAATCAAAAATTGAATAAATGTAAAGTCAAAAAATTGAAAAGTCGAAAAACTGAAAAAGAGAAATAGAAAAACTAAAAAATCGGAAAATTAAAAATCGGTATGTTGGAAATTCGAAATACTGAAGAAACGAGAAAATTGTAAAAATGAAAAATTGAAAAAGAATAACTGAAGAATTTAAAAATTGAAATAGAACAACTGAAATATCTGCAATTTAAAGCTCGAAAAATTGCAAATTGAAAAATTGGAGAACAAAAAACAAAAATCGAAAAAAAAACGATAAGAACGAAGTACTGAAGAAACGAAAAACTGAAAAATCCAAAAATTTCAACTCGAAAAACTAAAAAATTGTAAAAACGAAAAATTGAGAAGATCGAATAATTAAACAAATTCAAAAGTTGAAATCAAGCAATAATGAAAAATGCGAAAAATTGTGGAACGAAAATCGAGAAATTGAAAACTAGAAATATCCAAAAACTGAAAAATCGAAAAGTTGTAGGACGTTAAAAAAATCGAGAAATTGTAAAATTAAAAAACTAAGAAATCGAAAGACTGAAAAATGGAAAAAAAATTAAAATTGAAAAATTGCTAAATCGAAAAATGGAGAAATAGAATACTAAAAATCGAAAAAAATATTAAATCTAAAATTTGTAAACCAAAAAATTGAGGAAATAAACCGAAAAATCGAAAAATTGCGAACTAGAAAAAGTGAAAAGTCGAAAAACTGAAAAAGAGAAATAGAAAAACTAAAACATCGAAAAATTAAAAATCGGTAGCTTGGAAATTCCAAATACTGATGAAGCGAGAAAATTGTAAAAATGAAAAATTGAAAAAGCCAATAACTGAAGAATTTAAAAATTGAAATAGAACAACTGAAATATCTGCAATTTAAAGCTCGAAAAATTGCAAATTGAAAAATTGGAGAATAAAAAACAAAAATCGAAAAGAAAAAAAACGATAAAAACGAAGTACTAAAGAAACGAAAAACTGAAAAATCCAAAAATTTTAAATCGAAAAACTAAGATATTGAAAAAACGAAAAATTGAGAAGATCGAATAATTAAACAAATTCAAAAGTTAAAATCAAGCAATAATGAAAAATGCGAAAAATTGTGGAACGAAAATCGAGAAATTAAAAATTTGAAATATCCAAAAACTGAAAAATCGAAAAGTTGTAGGATCGAAAATTGCAAATTGAAAAATTGAAGACAAAAACTGAAAAATCAAAGAATTAAAAATAAAGAAACCGAAAAATCAAAAATTGAAAAATTGGAGACGCGAAACATTGAAAAAGCGAAAAATTAAAATCGAGAAATTGAAAAAAAAAAAATCAAAAAATTGCAAAGCGGAAAAATCGAAAAAAACTAAAAATTGAAAAATCGTAAAACTGAAATATACAGAAATCGAAAAAGTAAAAATTCAAAAAAATATTAAATCGAAAATTTTGAACCCCGAAAATTGAAGAAATGTAAAACTGAACATTCCAAAGCTTAAAAATCGAAAACTGAAGGATTGAAAATGAAAATTGAAAAGTTGTAGGACGTTAAAAAAATCGAGAAATTGTAAAATTAAAAAACTAAGAAATCGAAAGACTGAAAAATCGAAAAAAAAATTAAAATTGAAAAATTGCTAAATCGAAAAATGGAGAAATGGAATACCAAAAATCGAAAAAAATATTAAATCTAAAATTTGTAAACCAAAAAATTGAGGAAATAAACTGAAAAATCGAAAAATTGCGAACTAGAAAAAGTGAAAAGTCGAAAAACTGAAAAAGAGAAATAGAAAACCTAAAAAATCGAAAAATTAAAAATCGGTAGCTCGAGAATAATTGAGAATCTTCTCAATTTTTCGTTTTTTCAATATCTTAGTTAATTAAACAAATTCAAAAGTTAAAATCAAGCAATAATGAAAAATGCGAAAAATTGTGGAACGAAAATCGAGAAATTAAAAATTTGAAATATCCAAAAACTGAAAAATCGAAAAGTTGTAGGATCGAAAATTGCAAATTGAAAAATTGAAGACAAAAACTGAAAAATCAAAGAATTAAAAATAAAGAAACCGAAAAATCAAAAATTGAACAATTGGAGAAACGAAACATTGAAAAAGCGAAAAATTAAAATCGAGAAATTGAAAAACAAAAAATCAAAAAATTGCAAAGCGGAAAATTAAGAAGATTGAAAATTCGAAAAAAACTGGAAAAATTGTGAATTGTGAATTGTGAAACCAAGAAACTGAAAAATACAAAAACTAAAAAATTAAAAAATTGTAGGATCAAAAAACTGCAAATGGAAAAATTTAAGAAGGAAAAACTCAGAAACCTTAAAATTCAAAATTGGACAGTCAAAAACTGATTAATTGTAAAATCGAAAAATTGAAGACACCAAACACTGAAAAAACGAAAAATTAAAAAATTGAAAAATCTTAAAATTGAAAAATTGTAAAATTCGAAAAATTCAAATCGGTAAGGTGAAAAATCCAAAAATTGTAAAAGCAAAAATTGGAAAAACGAAACACTGAAAAATAAAAAAAAATACAAATTGAAAAATTGAAGAAAAAACCAAGAAGCTGAAAAAGCAAAAATAGAATATTTGCAAAATCGAAACATTGTAGAAACGAAAAATATAGAGACCGAAAAACTGAAAAATCGAGAAATTAAAAATCGGTAAGGTGCAAATAGAAAATTGAAGAAACGAAAAGTTAGAGAAGGGAAAAATAAAACTAAGAAATTTAAAAATCGAAAATTGGCAAATCGGAGGAATGACAAATCGAAAAATTGAAAAATTGTAAAACCGAACAACGGAAAAATCCACAAATTGAAAAATTAAAAATCGAAAAGAAAAAAAACGAAAAATTAAAAAATTAAAAAACTGAAGAAACGAAACATTGAAAAATCGAAAATTAAAAAATTGAGAAACCTGAAATTTAAAAAGTGAAAAACTGCAAATCAGAAACTAAGCCATCGAAAACATGAAAATCGAAAAAATTGAAAAAGCGAAAAATTGTAAAACCGAAAAAAAAAGGATAGATAAATTGAAAAATTGGAGCACTGAAGAAACGAGATTGTGAAAAATTCAAAATGTTTCACAAAAAAGAGGATAGATAAATTGAAAAATTGGAACACTGAAGAAACGAGATTGTGAAATATTCAAAATTTTTAAAATCGAAAAACTTGTGAAAAGAAAAGATTGTAAAAACGAAAAATTGAGAACACCGAATAAGTAAATTGTGGAAATAAAATACACAAATTAAATAATTCAAATATCCAAAAAGTGAAAAATCGAAAATTTGTAGGGTCAAAAAATTGCAAAATGAAAAATTGAAGAGAAAAACTGAAAAATCAAGTAATTAAAAATGAAGAAACCGAAATTCAAAAATTGAAAAATTGAAACATCGAAAAACTGAAGAAACAAAACATTGAAGAAGCAAAAATTAAAATCGAGAAACTGAAAAACTGAAAAATCGAAAAATTCCAAGCCATAAATTAAAACAACCAAAAATTCAAAAATCGAAAAAAAGAAAAACTGTAAAATCGAAAAATGCAGGTCTCGAAAACTAAAAAAAATGTTGAACCATAAATTTGTAGTCCGAAAAATTGAATAAATGAAAACTCATAACTGAAAACTCAAAAAATTGTGAATCGAAAAATCGAGATATTGAAAAATACAAAAACTGAAAACCGAAAAATTGTAGGATCAAAAAAATGCAAATTGAAAATTTTAAAAAAGAAAAAAGTAAAAAATCTTAAAATTAAAAATCAAGAAAGTGATAAATCAAAAACTGATTAACTGTAAAGTCGAAAAATGGATAAATCAAAAAATTGAAATATCAAAAAATTACAAAATCCAAAAAAGTAAAAACCAAAAATAAAAATCGATAAGTTGAAAAAATCGAAAACTGAAGATGAAGAAAATCGAGAAGCCAAAAAATGAAAATACTGAAAAAATGAAACACTGAAAAATCGAAAAATTAAAAAACCGGAAACAAAGAAATCTAAAAATTGAACATTTGCAATGGAAAAAGCGACAAATTGAAA